CTTTGCGGGCCGGGGAGGGTGGGCGGGCGGACCGGAGAGACCGCGGGTGGCGGCGGGGAGGTCCGCGGGGAACCCTCGGCCCAGGTGCGGCTCGTCAGCCCCGCGCTGCCGGCCGCAAGGCTGCCGTGAGGGGGTAGGCCCGGCGCTGCCGGCCCGGCTCCCCGCTGAGCTTTCCCCTTCCCTCACTCCCTTCAGGAGCCTGGCGGAGCTGAGCCTGGATGAGTTCCTCGCCGCTGGCTCCGAATCGGAACCTGACGACGGTTCGGAGGAGGAAGAAGAGGTCGCCCGGCCCGCCAAGGGGGCTGCGGGGCAGCGGCGGGAGAGCGGGAAGGCGGGGCAGCCGTTCCAGGCCCCACCGGCTGCGAGGTAAGGGCGGGCCGGTGGTCGTGCTCGGCCCGGCGGTCGCCTCTCGCCCGGTTTGGGCGAGGTTTGGCACATTTAAGCACCCGTTCAGTGGTTGGTTGGGCTTTTTTACTTTTGCCTGCTTTTATGAGTAACGGTGGGACTTCTTGTGGCAGCATCCGTCATGGAATGAGCTAGTTCTGGGACCAGCTGGGCCAGAAGTGTCTAACAGGGCTGTGTTCAAGTGTGGTTACGGGGTACAGGGCAGTCAGGTTTTCTGTCGTACCTATGGCAGTTCACTAACTGCAGTGGGAAAAAGCTTGTGTTATGCTTTTCATCTTTTACAGGGTATACTAGAGTCGAGCAAAGCTTACTTTGTTTTTCCTCAGTTTGTGTGTGTTTACTCTTACTGAAAGATGTTGGAGTATCTGCAGATAGAAAATGATGAAGTAGTTCTTAGGCACTGCTAATCATTACAAGCTAAAACAATTCTTTAGTACCAGATAAGATTTTACCAAGCTTTCATTATTGGATTTCCCTGGCAGTATAGCTTTCAATAGTCTTTATAAAAAGTATGTGAGAGTAATTCTGAGAAATTAAGAAACAGATTTTTGTTTGGTTGATTTGGTTTTGCAAGATGTTTTTGTGACCTCTGGTCAGTATCCCAATACAACCTGCAACTTTGCTATCAAGGTTTCTTAATGCTGAATGAAAATAATCTTTTGCAAGTCCTCTAGAGCAGGTGTTAAATGGGACACAGAACTGTGGCCACAGCCCTGATAAACCCATCACTGTTCAAATTAGTCCCAGCTGTGTGCTTCAGTGTCCAGAAGTTGCTTGCTTTTCTTAGAGCATCAGCAGAAGTTTGAGCAATGAATAAATGCATGTTAATTCTTATCTACTAGGAAGAAGGGAAAGGCATCTGAACATAAAGATCAGCTCTCCCGGCTGAAGGACAAAGATCCTGAATTTTATAAGTTTTTGGAGGAAAATGATCGCACACTGCTGAACTTTGATGCTTCGGACAGTTCTGACGAGGAGGAGGAGAGGTTGCACGTACCACCTGATACACTGGAGGTACTAGGCCCTATTTTGGAGCGCTGAAATTAATGATTTCAATTACTTACATGTTAAGTATTTGGGTTTTGGTGCAAGGCCTAAGTATATTTGGGCTTATAGTGGCCCAGATGGCTGGGGGGGAGGGGCTTCCCCAAAGATTATCTGCAGGTGTACAGGCTTGTAATCCAGAAGTCAGCTGTGGACTTGAACTGGGCAGGAGGAGTTTGTTAAAGTTTGTGAAAACAGAGCCTCAGAGTGTATTTTCTCTGTAGTTTTGGTTTTGTCTTGACTTTCCTGATGAGAGTTTGTTTTGCCCCGAGTGATAGGCTTTCTCCTTGGTGTTTGTTGTGGTTTAACCCCAGCCAGCAACTAAGCACCAGGCAGCTGCTCACTCACTCCCCCCCCCATCCAGTGGGATGGGGGAGAAAATCGGGAAAAGAAGTAAAACTCGTGGGTTGAGATAAGAGCGGTTTAATAGAACAGAAAAGAAGAAACTATTAATGATAATGATAACACTAATAAAATGACAACAGTAGTAATAAAAGGATTGGAATGTACAAATGATGTGCAGGGCAATTGCTCCCCCCCCGCCGACCACCCCCCAGCCAGTCCCTGAGTGGCGATTCCCTGCCCCCCTTTCCCAGTTCCTAAACTAGATGGGACGTCACATGGTATGGAGTACACTGTTGGCCAGTTTGGGTCAGGTGTCCTGGCTGGGCATGAGAAGCTGAAAAATCCTTGACTATAGTCTAAACACTACTGAGCAACAACTGAAAACATCAGTGTTATCAACATTCTTCGCATACTGAACTCAAAACATAGCACTGTACCAGCTACTAGGAAGACAGTTAACTACATCCCAGCTGAAACCAGGACAGTGTTCTACATTATTGCACATTGTATTTATGTAGCAAAGCTGTATGGCTTAAGTAGCTTTTTTTGAATTTGGGATACCTCTAATTTCATTACTGCTTTACACAAAGTGCTGATAACAGAACAGCATTAATGAAATTCACTGCTGCCTGCCTTCCTCTTCAGTAGCTACTCAGAAAAAGAGGTGGGGCCAGAAAAGAAGTGTATAAGCCTTTTCTCAGTCTTGGTACTGACTTCTTTAGGAAGCAAGTGATGAGGATGAAGAAGAAGAACATGAAACAGTCAAACGGAAGAGAGTTTCTTTCATCCCTGTGAGCTTGAAAATGGTTGAAGAATGGAAAAAAGCTGCAGAGGTGAGCAGGGAGTTGGAATACAAGCCACTTGAGTATTCTCCTTTAAACATTCTTCCACGTGTGTCGCTGCCTCTAAAAGACCAACTTTCAATTGTGGTTTTTTTTCTTTCACAAAAATCTATAGAGAAAATGTATATCCTAAATACAAGGTCATACTTCTAGAACTCTTGTTACTTCAGCTTGACTTGTCTTTGCAATTTTTCTTGGGCTGCAAGATTAGGGTACTTGCATCCTGTCTGAGGGAGAAGCTGGAGAAATGCGTGGTTCAGAAGAGGTCAGAATGGCTAACTTTTGAATTTTCATCCTCTTGCTAAGTGTTGTGCTGTTGGCAGCTCCAAGAATTTTTTTTAGTCACATTTTGAGTAGCAATGAAATGGCTTGCTGCTTCTGACTAAGAGGGGGAGGGAAAGGTCAAATTGGATAGTTGCTTGCAGCTGATTGATTGCTTCTCAACCCCCAACCAATTAAAAGGCCTAGAAGCCCATTTTAGAGCAAGTGAAGGCCACTAGTGTTCGTTAACACTGTCCTGATGTTTTTCCTTTGTGTTATAGGATGGAGCTATTTTTGTGATCCAGCTTAGAATGAGTTCCAGTACTCCTGTCCCAGGAGTTTCAGAATGTTGCTTGCTTTTTCTCCTGAGCAATCCTTTTTCTTCTTTCCCCAGAGGGGGCTAACACCAAAACTTTTCCATGAAATCACTCAAGCCTTTAAAGCATCTGTAGCAACCACCAAAGGAGATAATGGTGGGACTGATCCCAGCAAGTTTCAAGTCACTGATGCTGCAGGTGAGTTGGTCACCGTACTACTTCTGTGAGAGAAGGGAAGTCATTTGGTAGGGAAGGAAGGGAGTGGTGGTAAGTCCCAGCAGGAGTTAACTTACCCTTTCATAGGCTTCATTTCACTTAAGTAGCTTATCTTCCTGGTGGTGAGTCTGTGCAGTGGTATCTCTTCTGGTGTCCCAATGTGTAAGTGTACCTCTCGGTGTGCATGCCTGGAGCAGCTGGGCTTTTGCAGACTGCTGAGGAAAGTACCAGCCTTCATTCACCAGACTTCTTAAAGTGAACTTGAAGCTAGGTACTGTTTATATGCTTGTAGTGCACAGTTTTATGGACAACTTTTGCTGCAGCTTCTTGCTGTTCCCTCTTAGAAATAATCCTACAAGGCTATTTTAACCAAACAAGACTGTTTCTTACCAAATAGCTTTTTATAACCTCACAACAGTTCAGAGTTCAGTTGCACTGTCAAGTTCGCATTCCCCTAGTCAGGACCTCTCAAAATACTGCATGTCTAGATTTCCTCCTCTACAGGATTATTGTGCCTGTGGAACAAATGAGATACAACCTTTCTCTCCAGCCTTAGCCCCCTTCTGCATAAGCTCCAGGTTTTGCAGACAGTCCTGTTGTAGACTCGCAACAGCATGGCTGAGTGGGAAACATCTTTGTTAGTGTCTCAGAGGATGTGACCTGCAGCCTGCCTACTTTTACCACTAAATTAGCATGTACTTTCTCACTGTGTTTTATCAGCTTGTTATTGTGTGCCATCTGGAACTGGCACTGTGGGGTGGGACTACTTAAACTCATGTGTTCTCCTTAATCCTTTCTTGCCTGGCATAGGGTTTTTTATCTCTCTTTCATTGCTTTTGGTAAAACCTCATTCTTTAATGCAAGACATTACATAGAATTCACATGTCCATTTATGTGACTTTTTTTTAATAAAAAGTGCCTTTAAGTCTCATTATGGTTTGGGGGAGATTGATGGTAGTATAGACTCCTAGTCATAAGTCCGGCTGCTTTTGTGCTTAGTGCTGTTTACTCAGCAAAGAGATGGCCCCTGTGCCAGAAAGCTGTCAGTTGTAATCTTGCTGTTTGGATAAAAAATTCTAGGGTAAGACAAACTGATGTTTTCCGGAAGCTTGTGGAAACACAATAGTTCTGCTGTGGGAATTACTGGCTTCAGTTCCTTGGGGAGCTCATTTCAAATTATCTGAGAAACGAGGAATATATGGAAAATAATTTACAAATTCTTTACTGACTTTTTTTTAACCAGTGTTCAATGCTCTTGTGTCCTTCTGTGTCCGGGACCTCTTCCGCTGTCTGCAGAAGCTGCTGCTTCTGAAACCCCCGAAGAACAAACTAAAGTAAGTCTGAGGAGATTTGAGAACTGTGGGTGAGAGAAACCTGGTTGGGGTTTTTCAGAACTGCAACCTGGCTGTGAAGCTGGAAAAAGATGGCAGCTCTTCCCAAACACTAGCAAAGTTGCCTGATTATGTTCACAGTTATCTTAGCTGGGTTCTTCCTTTCTTCCCCAGAAGTGTGTCCTCTGTAATATTAGTCTCCAGCCATTTGCAGAGGACATGTGGCTTCAACAGAAAGAGATCTGGAATTACATATGCTTGCACTCAGGAGCCCTGTTAAGGCATTTTGAGTTGGTTGTCACAGAAAGGGACGAAGCCTTCTGCCTGTACGTAGGCAGAGTATTGCAAGTATGCAACTAGTTAATCCAGGGTTTCAGGAGCTGTATTATGCCCTAGAGCCTGGTGGTCTGAGGGCTGGATCATCTGAGTTTGAGCTGTTCACTGTTAGAGCATAGATGGAATGGAAACAAGTATGCAACTGGGCAAAGAATGGTATGATTCATTTTTTTCCAAAATGGCAACATCAGTCCAGTACCGCTGTATCGCATTCACTGATGCAATTTGATTTGACTAGAGAGGAGGAATGACAATTTTGAAGTCTCATCTGCTGCCTGGGAGCTGGGAATTCTCTGGCTATTATGCGGGTTGGTGCTCAAAGAGTTTCAGAGTCAGTCTGGGCCCATGTTTGAACGGGTGTTAGCATGGCTTACCCAGGAGCAACTGGAAAAGGTGCTGGAAACTCAGTAAGCACCAGTCTGAACTCTTGCTGGATAAACCAATACCGTAGCTGGGGACTATGAGCCCAGTTTCATAAAACAAGCTGTGAAGTTCCCAGTATGTTTTGCAAGCTGGAGCAGCCTTACTTAGCCTCTGTGCCTATTTCCTACTAGATGTTCACAAAAGTTTTTTACCTCAGTCCTCTCTGGAGTTTCAGCTCAACACAGCTTTATTACTTGCTTCATAGTCTGAGTCTTCTGTTTTTGCTGTTGTTGGGTAAAGTCAGAATTGAATGCCTTTCAGAGGTGCTTTCAGTTTCGGGGTAATTTTTGTGGCAGTTATTTTTAATTTCCCTGTCACAGATGAAGGGAGGGTTGAGCTAAACTCTAGATTCCTTGTTGGCAGCGGTGCCTAGTCTGAGAAGTAAATTCCATTTCTTTGTATAAATACCAGCCTCTTTCATCCCCAGGCCTGACTTGTACGGACTGTGTCTGAATTTTGGGATGGCCTGGGGGCACTACTTCGAGTGCAGTGTCAAAAATTTAGAGGAGTCTGAGCAAATGTCTCACAATTAGTTTGATCCCCAAAATAGACTTTCTTGCTACAAGCCAGCCTGCCCTGTTCTCAGGCAGTGGCTGCAGAATGCCTGACTAGAAGATAGCATCAGTGTGTGAGATTCAGGTCTCCACCAGGCTTTCTGGCTGTTACAGCTCCCTGTATCACACTTCCAGAGATCTGGGTACTCTGCTGGGAGGCTTTTTGAATTGAATTTTCTAATGCTGTGCTTCAGGCAGTTTTTACAGAGTAGAAGTGCTTCCTTTCACCTCTGATAAAATTGTTACTTCTCTTCTTGCTTTGCAAGCAGTTGTTCTTGCTCACTGGCAATATCGAGGAAGTGAACTCACTGTTCGTTGTGCTGCTGAAATCTAATTTATTTGGTGGGGTTTTTTTTAAAGCTAAACCCAACTCTTGCTCATTTCCAGAGTGGTCCTCCCTTCCACCAGCCCACTTTGGAGCAAGTTACGACTGGACGTAAAAGTGTACCTCGGCTGTACCATACAAGTAAGAAATTTCAGCGTGTTTGTGTTACTGGGGTTAGTCTGTGCATCGCTGGGCTTTTGTTCAGCATATTTTGGAATGAGGCATCTGTAAACAACACTGCTAAAAGGAGAGCCAAGCAGTCAGGAAGATAATTAACAAAGCATGTAACAATGTAGCCTCAGGTGCTTTTCCCTTTGAAAAGACAGTTACTCCAGTTTGAGGGTGACTTTCTGATCATCCCAATGCTGAGAACTGGGTATTGGTTTCTATCCCTTCTCCTGTAGTGGAGAATAAGTAAGACTTACTGGCTGAGACTGTAGTGGGCAGAAGCAATCTCACTGAGTCTTGAAACCTTGCGCATCTGAGATTTGTGTGTTTGTCCAGTTCCCTGCCTTCTTTTGGAAGTACTTGGTCTTACTAACAATTTGGAGGTCCATAGGATGGTTGTGTCAAAATAGGTAGCCTGTAAAGAAGGACTTGATTAACATTCTGGCAATCCTTTCTGTCTTAGTTTGTCTGACAAATTAATATTTAGTGGCTTTAAAGTAGTTTGCAGTGCTGTACTCCTGCATTCTGCATCTTTAATTCAATTTTTGGCACTATGATCTTGCCACTTCTTGTAGTAAATACTAAGATGATATGTTGATAACTTCACCTAGGACATCTCCAAGTATGATTATGCTCCATCCCACTAGGATATCCCATTCATCCAAAGTTGCTGATGTCTGATGTTTCAGAGAGAATTCATTGGTTATTTCTGAAGGAAATTCCTGCCCCCAGTTAATTTCTTTTGAGAATGCTTCATCGTGCATCCACAAATTTGGAATATTAAAACCAAAACAACAACATTGAAATACTCATTCTTCAGAAGCTGAGGGAAGGGGGATATGAGGAAAGAAAAAGAAAGTGCTGATGTCTCTTAGCTGTAAGCTGGCAGAATGACTTGGCAGAAAGAGCATTTTGATCAGTAGAGCTTTTTTTCTCAAGTCGTGGTGCCTCTCGCCAGCAGCAGAAGATTGCAGTAGGAAAGGAAAAGCTGGCAATGCAGTCCCATTGAAGTGATCCCTGGTCCTGTGCTTGCTTCTGAGTGCCCCTAGTCCTAGGCTTCACTAGAGTGTTTTTCTGGCGTAGTAGTTTCTGAACAATATCTTCTCCTTTCCTTGTGGTGTGTGAGGGACTTTGCAAAAGAGACCTGCTCAGTCCAGAATCTTTGCAGTGCAAGGAGGAGAATGAGGAGGAAAGTTACAAGTAGGAAAAAATGCCTCTGCTTCCAGCAGCTGGGATTGCAGGCAAGAGGGGGCACTGCATCAGGCAGAACCTCTCTCAAATTGAAGTGACTTTGAGCTTACCGTTGTCTTCAGGTTAGAAACTGCGGACATGTCTGGGTTTAGTTCCAGGTGAACTGAGCTGAACAACCTGGAAATACAAAGATACTGTTTCTTAATAGTTTTTTTTCTGATATTTTCCTTGAGTTAGTTAACCTCTTGATACCCAATAGTATTCCAGCTTCCCATTAAAGAAATCCTAGTGAAAATCCAGTAAGTTATCAGATAGCTCAGGTGGTCTGTTTCCAAGCCTTGTGTAGACTGAGGGTGTCTTTATTGTGCTTTGACAAATTTGTAGTGAGATGACAGAGGCATTGGTGTCATGTCATCTGTAATAGGTCTTAAACTGTGTATAGACTTATCTTTTGCAATATACACAAATGAGGTTTTATGTGATGAGCTCAGGGGCCATTAGCCATCCAAGTCCAGTAGCCTGACCCTACCTTTGCCAGGATGATGTACTTTCAGGGGAGTTATTTAACCCGCTGTGTGTCTGCTCCTTTCCTGATACAGCTTTTGGGGGTTTGTTTGAGCTTCTTCCTAGGGAAGGCTGGTCTTCCAGTCCTTTGGTTACACAGAAATACTTGGAAACAGCAAAATACAGATGCTTAATGGCAAAGGCAGAGGTGATGAGGATGGTGCTAAATGGGATCATGTTTTGTTTTCCCTCCATAGCTCCTGTCTTGTTTAACGGAAGCCTCAGTTGGTGCAGCAGTCCTTCAGCATGTCAGTTCCATAGTGCCTTATTATTTGTCCTTTCCAAAGCAGTGCCGTGCACTTCTCAAGGTAAGGTGACGTGCTATGATATGTCGTTTGGATATGAGGTACTTTCTTTACCCCTTCAGATGAGCCTCTCATGGTATTTGGGCTGGATCTCATGACAGTTCAGTCTCTTGTACTCCTCTTCCCTTTTCTTTTGGTCCTGGAAAGGACTCCTGCTTCTCTTACAGGCCTTCTAGGTGCCATGGAGCGCTGTCACGCTGAGGTGAGTGGGCATGTGGCTCCATGCGTAGCTACTGCTAATCCCCCTGCAAAGTGACACGGAGGTGTTCTGGGGAAGCTGTCTGCTTCCTCATCGCAGATGGAGTAATTGCTGCCTGTGTGCTGAGTCTGTGCGTACGCCTGTGATAGTATTTCACTCTCAAGAGCTGGGGGTGGAATATTTTTGCAGAAACTTAGTCACAACTGCTGAGCACTTAGGAACAACAAAGGAGGTGTGGAAGAGGGCAACAGGGTGACATTTAAATGAAAAGCTGCAACACAACACTTAAATGAGGCTGGGAACCCTTTGATGATAAAGATGACTGGTATACAGTGATCAGAGGCTGGTACCTCTCATATCTGAAGGTGTAGCAGTCTGCTCACTGCTACAGTAGGGATTTTTGAGTAGGCTTTTTCAGCTCTGTAGCTGGAATCTTTCTTATTTCCTGTAGAATTCATCAGTGCAGATAACTAGTTTTTGGAGGCATCAGTCATGATTGTGGTCCTACTGTACCAGATGCCTCCTGACAGTACCAGCCGTGTCCAAGTGAACCTGTACTCTGAATAGACAAATGCAGGCAGGCCTGGGAAGAACGGAATCTATTCATTTGCTTCTCAAGAAGTTGAGGGGAGAGACCAATATATGATTGCTTTATGCAATGCAGAGATGTGTAAAACTCAGATTGAGTTTACATGTCGGTGGTGGGCTGTCTGTTAGCCCAGACCTCTATACAGACTAACTTACCCCTCTCCAGCTGGTGTAGGTATTTTTGTGGTGCACTGGGTGCTGGTCATCATGTCTGTACCAGAGTGACTAAGGATACGTCTCAGCAGAAGTGCTGCCTTACACAGGGCCTGTCTCTGGCTCCAAACTCTGCTGCTGCTCTATCGTTTGAATTAATACAGTGAATGTCTAGGGAACCAGAATTAAGTCAGAACTACCATGAGGAGATGTATCTCAGGAATTGCAACCTGTTTGCCCAGAGGGGAAAAAACATTGATAAATTCAGAAATCAAACCCAGGTGTCCCCTCTCCAGAGACAAATGCATCTTTAATAGCATTCTTTGAGAAACTACAATTTGGTGTTTGTGGCAAGAACTGGAGTGTAATTGCAGTGCACTTGTATTCTGCAGAATTCAGTGTAAGACAAGTTACTTTTTTTGTTGGGCTGGAAGATGTATCAACCAAATGTGTAATCCAGTGTGGTGTTGCTGTCTAGGGGATGGTGAGGAAGCTTTGCAAAGCCTAGGAGGTTGAGTCGCACAGGCTGGTGCCTATGCTCAGAAGCTCAAATGTGCATTTAGGTACATGAATAAAAGTGCATGTATTTTTCAGAGATGCTAGTTTGGGACAGTTGCCTTTACTGATTGTGGAAATATCAACTTTGCCTTTTGTGTGGTCTCGCAGCTAGAGTATGAGGTCAGAATGGCTGCCAGTGCTGTTATGACTGGTTCTGTGACAATATAGCCTGCAATCTTTGTGTCATCGTCCTCGCTTGCTTTTTTGGTGTGAAGGAGGGAAGCTCAGGCCTGTCAGTAACCAGGAAGGGGCTCTTTGTCCCTTCACTTATTTGTATCTTTTTATTTTCTGTTCCAGCAAGCAATTAATTTGTGGAGCACAGGTGAGGAAACAGTGAGAGTACTGGCCTTCCTTGTGCTGAACAAGATCTGCCGCTACAAGAAAGAGGTGTACTTAAGTCCCTTGCTCAAGGTAAGGCTGATACTTGCTGTACTCTGCAGCTTTTCTTTCTCACATTGTATGCCAAGACCTTAGAGCATAAGCTGCAGCCTATTAGGTAGTGCAGGTGCTGGAGATGATGCTGGCTACCTCCAGAAAATTAAACAGGGAAGAAATTCCATGTTAGGTCAGAGTGATATCCTGCTTCCTACTACTGCCCTTCCTGCTGGAGGCACACAGGGTCTTAGCAGGGAAGGCCTCTGGTACTCATCTGTCTACTGGATGAATACTCATCCTCCAAATTCTTGAGAGCTTTCCTCAAGTGCTGACACACTACTGAGTGCTGCTGAGCTGCTCTTATCTTTCGGCTAACAGCTGAGGTTCCCAAGTGTAGTTTGCTCAGGTACCAGTGTTACAGAAAGAGAACTGTGACCAACTTTAAGCGTATATGGCTCAAAGCCATCCTGCAGTTCTCTTCTTGCAGAGAAGCAATGGTAGGGGCATCTCCAAGCACTGTGCTAAACAGACTCTCTCCCATCTCCCCTGAAGAAGGAGCAGGCCGGATTATTATTTTTGCATATTCCTTTGAAGTGACTTATAAAAGGAATACTTCATCCCTGGTTTGGACATACCTGGGTGGGGAATGTTAGTGAAAGAATATTTTTGTTCTGTTCTGTGAGGTTGTATCTTGTCCTCTTTCCTGCACAGCAAATGTACATCGCATTTGTGAAGAATTCCAGATTCACCTCTCCCAATGTCCTGCCCATGATCAACTTCATGCAGCGCACACTGACAGAGATGTATGCCCTGGACACACATACGTCTTACCAGCATGCCTTCATCTATATCCGTCAGCTTGCCATTCACTTGCGCAGTGCAATGACGATAAAGAAGAAGGTAGGTACCCATCAGTGTGGAAGGAGTGTACCCTCCTATGGGGAATGTGCAGAGAGGGGAAAATTACAGTAGCCGTTTCAGTCTTTTAGTAGCGTCTCTAAAGTGTCAGTACTTGTGTCTGACCCATTTCATAATGTGCTGAGGAATTTTTTGCCAGGGGCTACGAGCTTCAGAGATCACCTTGTAGTTGCCTGTGTTAGTTTAGAATTTCAGCAAGGAAGGAGAGAAAAGACAACTGCAGGGTGGGAGTCACTTTTCTCTCCACAGCTTCCAAGAGATTGCGATGCGCTTTCCATCTTCTGTCTTGGGCACCCTTTTTCCACTCTGTGAAGCAGCTGTTTGCAGCCTCTGTGGCAAAACCTCAAGGTAAAGAAGATTAGGAGCCACCCTGGTGTGTGCATCTTTACAGTGAAGCCCGTACTATTTAAAGGACTTAATTGAACAAATCAGCTCAGACCTTTTGGGAGCAGCCCTGATTGCAGCCACTTCCAGTCTGACCTCAGAAATCTGAGTCAGATTGCTAATCCTGGCTTTACTCATGTTTAGCAAAACAGACCACTATAGATTAATTGTTCAGCTGCTCGTAAACATTGCAAGATTGGTGACCAGTTAAATCTCCTGGCTGTTCAGACGTGGGAATGAATGAGCGGAGATAAATGAAGTCTGGGCTGCATATGCCCTAATTGGATTGCATTGGCTTCTTACACCTTCAGTTCTGGCCCAGACAAGAACTAAATCCACTTGATTTCACAGCTGGGGGAGGATTGTAAGAACTTTAAATGACAACAGCACAACCAAAACGTACAAATCCAAGCAGTAAGCCAATTTAAATTGAGCTGTGGGTGGTTGTGGAAGGTGATTACAAGAGCAGATTGCTTATCTGTTCTGTGCAAGAGAAGCTGAGAACAGAGCTTCTTGGTACGTCTCGGTGACCTGGTGAGAGCAGGGAGAGCTCTACCATTTCCAGCTGCAGCTGAAGTCCCTACTGCAAAGTTTGGTCCAGTGGCTGCAATTGAGGGCATCTGTCCTTTTTCCAGGACTTAGGCATCTTACTTCATCCATGCAAAAGAGGAAGGTGACCTAGGCCTTGAAAGTCTGTCTGAAACATAAGTTGGAGCTGAGGCACCTTGTTAAGTGCAATCTCCTAAGTTCTTGGTGCGATTCTGGGGAATACATGGGCCTGCAGAACTCTTCGGAAAGGGTGTCCTTAAGGGACTATTCCGGGCTTTTATTTAGTATGGCACTATGAGCTGCTTAAGCACGTGGCAGGGAGAGTGGAGGCTTGCCCAGACATTCTTGAAAACAATGTCTCTTGGATTGATGCAAGACTTGACCGACACCTACCCATACTACTCAGCCAGCCTCAAATGCTGGTTCAGTGTGTCACTGCACATCAGGCACGCTGCTGGCCTGTTGCATTGTTTTTGCTGGTAACCGTAAAGGCTGGCTGAGAAACAGAGCTGAAAGTTTGTTCTCAGCTCTGCTGCATGTCATTTTTACTCTGCAATTGACAAAAATGAAACTGTCCTGGGTAGTGGCTTTTCCAAAAGCAGGGAGGAGTCCTGGGTTGATCATTTGTTCCTTGCTTTAACAGTGAATGTTTGTAGGCACATCTTTAAAATGAGCACTGATACTACCTTTCAGAGTTGGTGTGGTGATTAGGGGGTTTTGATTAATACAGCTGAGGGAAGGGAAGCCTCAAGTGGGCAGGACAAGCTGCTATGTAATAACCAAATGAGTTTGAGTGCAGAGAGGGGAAATCCAGATGAATTCAAATTAATTTATTCCTAGCTTGAATCTATAGTGTAGCTTTACACACCCTTCCCCCCCCCCCCTTCTGGTCTGCAGAGGCCAGAAGGCAATTTACAAGGATATCAGAGAGGGGTACTCCTTTCCAGCCTTCCTACCTGTGGGAGACGAGGGGCTGTCCCAGGGACTGTGGGCAAATGGAACAGTTAAAGGCTTCCTAATGCTTGGCCACATCCCACAATCTGCTGTGAGCTGGATCATTAAATCATCCTTCTCAAATGAGCCATACTTGTGAAGAAAAGCCGTCTGTGTGTTGCTCATTATTTCTTTCAAGGCACTAACTAGTACCAAATCATAATGTTGCCAATGCAGCATCTTGAACTTGCTGGTGGTGGGTCAGCCACTAGCATCAAAGCAACAGCTAGAATGTTAGTTATTCCTCTCTAAGCAGTACACAATGTCCTCTTAGAGAATGCTGGATAAAATGACTCCTGTAGAGAAATCAGAATGAGCTCCTCTCAGATGCCACATTTTCAAGTTTGTGCTTGTGTTTTTTTCCCTTTTCTGCAGGAGAACTTCCAGTCTGTTTATAACTGGCAGTATATCCACTGCCTGTATTTCTGGTGTCGAGTTCTCAGCACAATCTATCCCAGTGAGGTCATGGAGCCGTTGATCTATCCTTTGACACAGGTCATCATTGGCTGTATAAAGTAAGTAGGATTTTTGTTTGTTTCTTTTAGCTATACTCCATCTTGCTTGATGTGGCCGAGCAGTTACTAAGGGGTGTTATTGTTATGCGATTTGGATTCAACCTTGCATTGTAAGGAAATGTCTGAGAGCTGCTTTTATTGAAGTATTCTAGCTGAAGATGTGAGCACCTGTATGTTTAGGTGATGAGAAAGTTGTGGTGTAGGTTATTTTCTCCTAGGCTAAATTCTCTGTATAAGAGAAGTTGCAGTCTGAATAGCCTGGACACATTATCCTCCCAGTTGTACAAAGTGGCAAGGAAAAATCTACTGACTTGCCTCAGGACCTAACAGTGCCAAAGTACAGAATCAAGTCCGCATCTCTAGCTCTGTAAATACAGTTAGAAGATGTGTTGTTTTGTGCATATGTTAGAATTTGAAGAACTAGGACACATTTATTGCTTTAGTATGCCTCTGCTGAGAATCTTTCTCTTTTCCCATCAGTTTATGTGTTTATATATGAAATTTTGTCCTTTGAAACGGCTGTTAATAATGAGCATTGAGGGAATTTCTGAAGCTCTGGTGATCTCTGAAATCCTGTTAGCTCTGTTAACCAGATTCTCAGCTTTAAAACACCACCCGCCTGGTCTTGAAAAACTCCCAAGTGGTGATGAAGATAAGCAGATTTAAAGGATCGTTAAGAATATGCATACATCCCTCTTCCCGTCCCCCTTGTGCATCGGCTGCTTCCCACTGCTGTTGTAGAGCTTTAGTTGTCCTGTGGACTAATCTAGGCAGTTTTCTACCTGTCCAGGCAGATAAATCAGCTATCTGGGGCCAAGGAAAGGTGAATCGGGTGAGTCTCAGCAAGAGCAGCAAATACAATTTGTTAGCATCTGTGATGGACAGGGCTGCTTGGCACGAAGTACAGTTACTGTCTGACAAGGCTTTAAAGATTTGGAAACCCAACAGATGGGTTCTAGGGTAGGGAAAATAAATCCCACCCTGGCTTTCTTACTGAGTCAAGCCAGTGTCTAGGATGTAAGAAGGGGGTACATAAGTTAGCAGATGTGGGATTGATGTGGCTCCACAGGCTTCAGTCTATACCCAGGATCCCTAGTGGCTCCCTCCTGGGTATAGTCAGCATCTTCTCAGTGTTGGTGGCTGTGCTGGCCAAACCGAGCCCAGCAAGAGTCAGTCTCTATGCCACATCCCCTGGTCTAGATAACATCTGTAGCAACTGAGTGTTACGGAAGAACTCAGGTTGTTTCTGTTTGAGATGAGAGGATAAAATAATGTAGCCTGCAGGTCAAGGTTTTTTTTGCTTCATGTAGCATTTAACGCGTTTCTGGCAGGCTGCTTAATCCGCTGACAGCAGTCAGATACTTTCTTGTGGAGGTGGCATGAATGAGCTGGATCCCTCTCTTTGTTCCTCTGTGCTGTTCGGCTTTGAGAGGTGTGTGTATGCGATCAGGTGTTGGGGCAGGATGCCGTGTAACATCTGGAATACCGTCTCACTTCTGTTCCTGATGCAGTGTAGTGCTCTGGGGGTCCATCTGGAGGGTGGTAGTGCTGGGAAGTGGCTCTGCTTCCCCAGTGCCTTTTGTACCGGGAGGTGGCGCCTGGCTCCAGCGCAAGGGCAGTGAGCAGGGTGTCTGTCTGTCTGTCTGGGACCTGATCGGTTCCTCTTGCCACCCTGGCCTCTTACGTGCGTGGAATGGGGAGAAACCACCATCCATCACAGGCTTTTTGCTCTAGGCAGGGACCAGGGCAGAATTTGATAAGTGATTAAACAAGATAAATAGTAGAAGAGGGTTGCCTGCTAAACTCAAGATTAGCTCCCTCATTTTCTTGCTCCTTCTGTTTGCTTACCAGCATATAAAATGCATTGAAACTATTTTTAATAATACATATTTCAGAAATGGGCCCCGTGTGTGTGTCTGGAAGTTGCCTATGCTCAAGATGTGGTCCAGGGAAGTTGGAGTACGGAGTGGAGAAATACTGGAACTGATAATTTCTGCTATTTTTGTGGTGCTGGGAAGAGCCTCATTGCTGAGTTTGCTCATGGAATTGCCATGTAATAATAAGTGATGCTGTTCTCACAAACAGCTGAAATGTTGCAGTTAGTTTGACCAATGGGGCAGTGTTGCAGGTATTGCAGAGATAGGAGAATGTGAAGGACATGATTTCCCCCTTCCTTTCACTGCCTTGTGCTTTTCTCTGCCTCTGTAATCCATAAGTTCCTCCTTTTGATCTGTGTGCTTGCATTTTTTGGAGTTCATGGTTGGATTTTTTTGTAGCAGAGTTGTTGCAGAAGCTCCTGTTCTGTTGTTATCCCTTTTCCCCTCATCCCATAAAGAGTTTTTCTGACCATGTCTGCTTGGATTTCTACCTTACTCCCAGTCTAAGCTATAAAAATGAAGTTCCTCCCTGGCTTATAGTTAAATGAGGATTTTTGGTGCCTGTTAAATTTTGGTTTCTGGCCTCTCAGCACATATAGGGGAGGAAGCAGGTACAGCCTTCTCCACGGAGAAGCAAGCACAGCCTTGATGTCCCTGAGCAAGTTCCCTTGGTGACCTGTCCTGGTGGGGCGGAGGCTGATGTTGAAAGAAGTTTTTGCTGTCCTCTCTAGCCAGAGAAAGATTGTGGTCACCCAGGAGTATAACAGAAGGAGTTTTAGTGAGTAAAAATAAGCCTTGAGAAGCCTTTAGGCTGTTTTCTACACCACAGCCTGTGCCCTGGCTGCATGGGAGAAGTACAGCAGGCATTCCAGGAGATAGTGATGGTAAAACATTAGGGAACACTCTCTGCTGAGATGAAATGCGAGTCATTTTGAACCCCCCGGCTGTGGCCTGGAGTGACTAGGCAGTTGGACCTTCCTCAGCAGAGCTGGGACCCAGCTGTGTTTTGTATTCCCTGTGCATCCAGCCATCGGGAAGTTGAGCAGATTGTTGCATCGCCACGCACTCTAAAATTAATGGTCTTGGTTTACAGTAAATCTATACGCTTAACAGGTTTATTCCTTGATCAATTAATTCCTGAGAATGGCTTTCGTCATCTCCAGTGGTGCCAGATCATGGGTGCAAAGTAGATTTATTTCTATAATGGATCCAATGATAATTATTTCACTATCTGGAGGGGGAGAGGGGGGAGATGCGGGTGATTTATGGTGCCTGGTCAAGCATGTTTTTTTGCTCTCCTGGATTGCTCAGCAAGCTCTTTGGGGAGGGGAGGGGTTCATTTATCAGACTTGAGCCTGTTGTCTGGGAACTGCATTTTTTTTGTGGTGTGGGGTGTTTTGGTCTTTTTTTAATCCTTGTAAATGCTAGAGGCATCCATGTCTTCATGTACAGGTCATTCAGTGTGAGAGGTTTCTAGAATGGTACAGTAGTGAGGTCCTAGTGTCTTTTAGGGATAGCTCTGCATTTTCCCCTCTGCTGCTGGCTTACGTGGTGCTGAGGGAGCTGGCCCTTCTCAGTCCCAACCTTACAAAGGGAGTTGGCTCTACTTCTTTCTTAATACCTGAGTGTGTAATGGTTTGAAGTGTGGGTCAAAGAAAGTCTGGCCTCTTCCCCTCCATGCTGATTACTGGCTGTTCAAATGTACATGTTGCCTCTCTGAAGAAGATGGGAATAGCTCAGATGCTCCTCTGGACTGGAGAGGGCTGAACAGATTTGGTCACTCTCATTCCCACTCTCTCCTTTCTGATATGCTGGCCGTTGCTAGTCCAGCTCCTTCTGCCTCAGTGACATTCCACACTAAAAGCGTCACTGTTCAGGTGACAGCATGAACTCTAGATACACATAGGGTATGTAGCCTGAAATGGGAAACTTCTTCCTCCATGTAGTCCTTCTGGTATGCTGGGGGAGCCCTTTTCTTGATCAAACTTGCTGCTTTAGATGGGCATTTTACTGCTGGTTCCTGCTACTTTTCCTTGCGTACCTACCTGTGCTGGGAGCACGAGAGCTGAAAGTGTTGAACATGACTAAACAGCATCAGTGATAAACTTAATCTGCAAAGCTCTTGTCTTGTAGCACTTTCTCGAAGCTGGAAACCTAGTGCTTTGGTTGCAGGAATTTGTGTGTTAGTGTTACAGCTTTAACAAGGTGAATTTTATTTTCAGCTGCGGGATAGATTCAGGAGCTCAAACAGTTTGCTGTGCAACACTAAAGCTGCCTTTCTTTTGTAGAGCAGGAAAGGCTCTCAAGTGTCACTGAAGGCTGCAGGTGCAGTTCCTGTATAAACTTGGCCTAATACCCTTTCTTCTTTTTTCCTTCCTAGGCTGGTCCCAACAGCTCGTTTCTACCCTCTGCGTATGCACTGCATCCGTGCACTTACACTGTTGTCTGAGAACACCAGGACCTTCATCCCAGTGTTACCATTTATCCTGGAGGTTAGTTGGTTCCTGCTGACCTACTAATGGCTGATGCCTACTACCTAACAAACACACTCGTTTACTCTACCTGCCAACAGCTCCCAAGATTGCCCTATTTGCTTACTCCCTAAAATCCCAGGCAAACAGCATCAGACAGGATGTATTGTTTGGTTAGCAAATAGGATTAAACTTTTATTGGCCTGTGAGCAGAGAGTATCTGAGATCAGCTGGGTGCAAAAATACATTCCTAGGCGGTTTAACTAATGCAAGTGGAGTAGGCAAAGAGTTTGCCAAAGAAGAGATTCAGAGGCTCAGCTGGTTGCAGTAACTCCTCGAGCTGTTGTTACTTGATACTGCTGATGTGTTCATATCTTAGCAGACGGAAGAGTTAGGATCTCCTAACTGCAGGCAAAGGGAAGTGGAATGAAAAAGGCCTTCAAGAATTAGAATTTATTTAGGGGAAAAAAAACCTCTGCAAATGCAACCTGGCAAAATGCAGTATGTTAAGTGAAATACTGATGCTAAGAGACCATCCAGCTTTCCCACTTACCAGAAGCCTGACATCTCTCCACATAGGTCTTTCTAGCTTTGCTGCTGTGAGAAGGTAGTACAGAAGTGGTGCAGCCAAATTTCACTGAAGAAGTGTGAGCGAGGCTGGGTGAGGAATGCAGAAGCCCCAGTAGGTCAGCATGAGGCTGGACACCGAAGAGGGGGAGGGAAGAGCGATTTCTATAATAAATGACCTGAGTCAGCCAGGCTCATTCCTAATCAAGTTCTGTTGAAGCAAAGGCTTTTGTGGTTTTGTGTTGTTGTAAACGTCCTTTGCAAACCACATCCTCTGAGCCTGTGGAAGGCAGCGATGTTTATAAATCTCCTCCTGCTCTCCCGCCGCCTCCGCTGCTCCCTGGCCTGTGTGGCTTTGCCATTCGCCTGCTTCCTTCCTCTTGTTCATGCATATTTGAAATTCTGCCAACCACATTTAGTGTTAGAGGCATCTCTGCTCGGGGGCAGTGGAGCTTGGGGCGAGGATGGTTTCTCTGCTTTTTACTTTTTAGTGCTCTGAGAGATAAAGCATTTTTCCCCTCAGGGCTTTACCCCCTGTTTGCATTCTGGCTCCAACACCTTGGCTCTAATCTGTGTGTCGGGCCCCAGCCAGACGTTACCACGCTGCATGCTGAGCTTCCTCCCGGCTTCCACAAGTCCCCAACCACATCCGATCCTGCTGTGTGTGTTTGTGAGGCACTACTCAGCTCAGTAGTAGACGCTTGTCCAGGTGTTGGTGACAAGGGAGAGATGGGGGCAGGGTAAATGTGTGCATGTGTGTTGCTTGCATACTCTTTCACATTAACAATTATTTTCCTTTAACTTCTGTAACCCAAGGTGACTGGCATGATATTAAACTCCCAAATCTCCCTGCAGCTGTCAGCCTTTCCCTTCTTCCTGCCTATCTCCTGCAAGGGATCCCTCAAATATCTTGTGGAGTTCCCAAGAGCATTCAGGGCTATTCCCTTTGTACTTCCATCTCTTCCCAACTCCCTCCTCTCTGTTACAGAGGTATCTGAATGCTCTTAAAACCCTTAGTGTGTCTCCATAAGCTGTCTTCAGGCAAGAGATGTATTCCAGCTATGTGGATGAGATGGTAGGAAGCTTTAGCACACAGAGGGGAAGTGACCTGCCCAAAGTCCCAAGGTGGCTGTGGTGATGCTGGGAAGAGAATCCGCATTCTGATGCCCATCCTAGTGCTTTAACTGTGAGCCTGTTTCTGCCAGCTCACAAGTTCAGCAGTGACTTAGTCAATAGATATTGGTCCCATGCCACACCAAGTCATGAATCAAAATCCATTTTAAGCCCATTATCCAAACCATCATGAGATTTGAGGGATCTGATCAGTGAGTTTGGTACTAAGCAGGAGTCGACTTGAGGGTCATGACTGGGGTTGGGGGAGCAGAATGAAGCCTTCCCAGCATAAGGTATGCTCCATTTGATAGGAATGAGGAAAGGCTGCTTTCTCTGTCACTGTTGCAACTGAATCCAAATGCAGCGAAAGAATGGCTGTGGAGCTTGTGACCCTATATTTTGTGCATTTTTTGGAGAGGGCTTTGCACAGCCTCAGAATGTAGTTTCTGTGAAGCTTCTTGTGTGAAAAGTGACTGTGTAACTCCGTGTTTCTCTTCCCCCTTTCCATCAAGGAAACCCAACCCTTGCTACCTCTTGTCCTGTTGCTGCTGTGGTTTCAAGAGAAGGCAAATTGAATGTTTGTGCAATTCCCATAGGCACAGGAATTCCCCAAGCCCCTGCCAATAGAAATGAGAGCTGGCTGCTTGATGCATCTTGACAAGGGCTGATGCTCCCCAGCGTGGGCATCCAGCGCTGTCTCCTCTCTGACTCTGCTTTCCAGGATGGAGCAAAAGAAGCAGCTTGCTAAAATTACATCTTAGATGGGAGGAGGTAGCTTGGAAGAGAGTGTAAAGCAGGCAGGCTTTTATTTTTGTATTGTTACTCCCCTTGAAGGGCCTGTGAGATCTCAGGCTTTTCTTTTTTTTTTTTATCACTTCAATTATTGTCTGACAGCCACTAGTTTCTGCAGCAGGAAAATTGGTGGCTCATCTGCTGCAAGGCAGGTGTGGATAAACAAGGTGGAAATCTCCCCACAGGCAGACTTTGCATGCCAATTTAAAATTGGCTTCTCCTGTGGAGGGATGGGAGAGGGAGGTTAACCCTGATGTGCTTAGGAAGGCATGAGTTTTTCACTTTGACACTTAAATGGCTTTGAGTCTTGTTTTGGATGTGCAGCTTGCTTTGGAAAAAGTCCCCAGGGGCTTGGAGTGCAACATATATGGGAGTGAGCAGCGGATTGTGTCGGAAGAAATCAGCTGATACGAAGATTGTAGTTGGAGAATTGATAATGCTGGACATTGTCATACATTTAAGCACAGATCTGAAATTAGTTTTCTACAAGACATGGGCTCTTTGCCTCTTTTACACAGAGAGGAAAAGCTGGAACTTTAGACAGAGTAAGCTGAACCACTGCACCACCTGAAGATGCATCCTTCCTTTTCCTCATTCTCCTCCTTCCACTGCTATATTGCAGCTCTTAAATTCTGGATCACAGCCCTGCAGGTACCAGGGGCTGTTTGAGTGAAATCATGCCTGACCAATCTAATAGACTTCAATGATGAGATGATTGGCTGAGTGGATGAGGGGAGAGCAGTGAGTGGATGTTGTTTATCTTTTCTTTATCATGGTTTTGGATACCATTTCCCATAACTTCCTCACAGACAAGCTGATGAACTGCAGACTAGATAAGCAGACTGTGCGGTGTATTGACAACTGGCTGAACTTCCAGGCTCATGCTGTGATCAGTGGCATGAAATCTAGCTAGAGGATAGCCACTAGTGATGTGCCCTGGGGATCAATACTGGGGCTGATAGTGGTTATCATGTTCATTAATGGTTTGAATGGTGGGGCAGAGTGGCACCATCAGCAAGCTTGCAGATGATATGAAGTTGGAAGGAGTTGTTGATACACGAGATAAGTGCCCTGCAATTCAGAGGGATCTTGACAGGTTGGAGAAATGGGCAGGCAGACACCTCATGTAGCTCAACAGAGAGAAATGCAACATCCTGCACCTGGGGAAGAGTAACCCCACAATAACAACATCCTGGGGGCTGACTGTCTGGAAAGCAGCTTTGTGGAAAAGGATGTAGACAACAAGTTGGCCAAGAGCCAGCAATGTGCCCTTGCAGTAAAGAAGGACAATGGCATGCTGTGTTAGGCATAGCTTTGCCAGTGGTTTGACTGGGGTCTTTCCCCTGTGCTGAGTACTAGTGAGACCACAGCAGGAGTGCTGTGTCTAGTTCGGGACTCTCCAGGGCAAGAGAGACATGGACATACTGGAGTGAGTCTAGTGAAGAGCCACAGAGATGAAGGGATTGGAGTAACTGTCACATGAGAAGAGGCTGCAAGAGCTGTGACTTTGTAGCCTGAAGAAGAGAAGGCTCGGGGAGGATCTTCTTAATGTAAAATACCTGAAAGGGGGGTGCTTAGAAGATGGAGCTAGGCTCTCTGAAGTGATGTCCAGTGACGGGATGCAGTGGGCACAAACTGAAACGCAGGAGGGCTTGTCTGAACATCAGGAAACGTTTTTTCTTTTTTTTTCTTTTTTTTCTTTTTTTTACTGCGAGGCTCACTGAGCACTGGCACAGATTGCCTAGGAAGGTTGTGGAGTCTCTGTCCTTGGAGATAATAAAACACAATCTGGACATTGTCCTGGCTAGTTGGCTCTAGGTAGCCAGAGCAGGGCAGGTTGGACAAGATGATCTCCAGAGCTTTCTTCCAATCTCAACCATTCTGTGAATAAAGAGGTTGAAGCCAGATTTTTCTCAATGGCACTTGGTGACAAGACGAGAGGCAATATGCAGAAAATTAAATGCAGGAGGTCCCACTTAAGCATTTGGAGGGGGGGGAACCTCAACAATTTTATATGGTGAGTCTAGAACAGGTTACCTAGATAAATAGTGGAGTGTCTGTCCTTGGAGATACTCAAAATCTGACTGGACATGGCCCTGAGAAACCTGTTCTAGTTGACCCTGCTAGATGACTTCCAGAGGTCCCTTCCAACCATAACTGTGAAACTCTGAGCGCTTCAAGCCAGCTTCTGCAGAAAGTTGGGCAGCTTGTCTGAACTTGACAATAATCAGACTCTGCTTGAGCGGCTTAACTAGGCGCTCTCAGCCCTTCCCTCAGTGGAGTGGGAGGGTGACTGAACAGACCTGAGGGAAAGCTGCAGGCAGGCCCGGCAAAGCACTGTGTCCCTGCAGAGAGCTGGCCTGGGGCTGCCAGCTTTGGGGTGATCAAAGCAGATGCCAGGAGGCTTTTGCTAGAGCCTGAGAGAAAGAAATGGGGGGCAGATGGGGCGATACAGTGGGAGTGCTGTGGCTGCAGAGTTGGTTCTGTGGTTTGCACTCTGGCAGTGCAAACTATATCTGAGCACTCTTCTGACTAGCCACGTAGAAATCATCTGTGAGCTTGAGATTGCCAGAAATCTTTCTCCTTCCTGCCTGTGTTGCCCTGTCCTTTCCTTTGTCTGCTAGTGGTTATCACTTAAGCCAAGTTGTTGGCTTTTGACATTTTCTGGCCCTCTAGTCCCTCATTATCGCCTTTCTACCCTGCCACAGGATTCCTAGACATCAGTCATTCTCTCCTTCAGTCTGGCTGTTAGCTGATCCATTCTGCAGTCTTGAGATGGGAACCACATTTTCCCCCCTTTCCACATGTCCTGACCAGCTCCCTAGCACCTCCTGGGAAAGTTTCGAAACCTCTGCTTGCATTTCCCCACTTGCCTAGTGGCATGTTAGGATCCCACAGAGCCTGATGCCTTGTGCTTTAATGTGTCTGACCTCAGGGATCAATACTACTGTTTTGGCCAAAGAAATAACCGTGCATAACGAGGTTTATAGCATCGATTCCCTAGGCTAGGGCTCTTTGTTTTCACAAGCCACCAAGCTTGTCCCTCCCTTCCAAATAACCTGGATTGACAAATAAAATGTAAAAAATCAATAGTCGTCTCCATGCTTTTCTGGCCTGGGGGCATCCATGTGACCTGAACACCCTCCCTTTCCTCCTCACCTCACCCTCTAGCAATCAGTATGCTGCATCCCCTTGTTGCTGGGCTGGTTGGGGTCTGATGATGAATGTGTTGCTGCTGCATAGAGGGAATAGAAATTATTTCCTGCTCAGGAGTGCAATTTAAAAGTGTTGGGGACAGGGAGAGGAACTGTGGGTTACTTTTGAGGTGCTCAAAAGTATGGGTGGGCAGGATATTCTCTTTATCAGCCTCCCTCAGTGGTTGTCATCAGATATGCAAATGATTACCAATTGTTGGCTGAGGGGTTTTTTTGTTGGTGGTTTTTTTTTTTTTTTTTTCCAATGAGATCTTATTGCTAATGAACACCTCCCTTGATTGCCACTTATCACCTGATGGGGGTCTCTTGGAATCTGCCCCAGATCAAGTGGCTTTTGCGGTTCTTGCCATCTTTTTCCTGAGATCTGCCCCTACCAGGCTGGGAGAAGGCATACTGGTATTGCTGTTCATTTTGGAAACCTTTTGCTCCTTCCTCTATCACAGCTTCAGACGAAGAGCAGCGCAGCGCACGGGCTTATTGGGATAGTGTACCCTGTTGTCTGATGTCTGCCCAGGGCAGTAGGGACCAAGGCAGATTATGGCTCTAGCTGATTTCAGCTGAAGATAGCGTTCCTGCATGCAAAATGTAGCCTTCCGAGGAAGTAAAGAATGGAAGTTCTCATTGATTCATGTTACCCTTCCCCCAAAGAAGTTGGGAAACTCCTCCCAAAAAGGAGAGAGTTGGGAAAAGGCTTTCATAGTTCTTGGTCTTGATTACAATTTATTAAGTTTTAAGGCAATAATGGTTCTTCTTAATTAAAACCAAACTTGAGATGCCACCCTGGAGAGCGAGTCACACACACATATGTGAGCTTCCTCTCTGTTTTCTCCTTTCTACTATGGAAGCTTCATACCTTCTGTTTCCAAAATACTTCTCTCCCCAACCATTATCATTAAACAAGCTCTGGAAAAACACAAAAGCAAAGGTGCAGGTCTGTCTTTTGACATTACATACTAGTCTACTGGGTATCCAGCTGTACAGAGCTTGTGTGTGCTCATCATTTTGATGAGCAGGATGCACGGTCTCCTCTCAAACTCTGGGAAGGGGCCAGTTTTTCTCCATGTCCCTTGCTATAAAATGAAATGCGTCCATAGGGAATAATATGCACTTATTCAAAGGCTGTTCAGTTATAATTGGTACGAGGGATGCCAGTGGGAAATGTGTTAGAATAGAAACCTTGCCTGGCAAGGGGTGTTTGTGAAAAGGACTTACTGGTCTCTCTGCTTCCTGGGACAATTATTTCAGTGACAGTAAGAGGGTAATGGATTTGTTGTAAGCAACATCCAGTCTTGCTGTTGAAAAGCTTTTCACCTTAAGGGACAGCTCCAAAATACACTCAAGCTTTATAGTATGATCTTTCTGACCATTAGAAGCATGGGTCTGAGGAACAAACCTCTAGTTTCTTGTGCTGTTGCTTGTGTTGGTTTCCTTGTACCCCACACTTCTGTGGCATCTTTCACACTCAGGTCTCTAAAGCTTCAAGTGTGGTTGGTGTTTGCTTCCTAACTGTCCCTTGGTAGGGTCTTTAAGAAAGCTGTGGGACAGTGATCAGAACAGGCAAGCAGGAATCAGGATTTCTGGCTTGTCTTCTTGGCTCTGCCACCAACTGCACGATCTCAGTTGAGTCATTTGGTATCTGTTGTTTTGTGGTGCGATCATCTTTGTGCTTGTTTTTTTTCTGTTGTAGGTTTTCCAACAAGTGGATTTCAACAAGAAGCCAGGACGTATGAGCGCTAAGCCTATAAACTTTGCAGTGATCTTGAAGCTTTCCAATGCTAACCTGCAGGAGAAGGCCTTCCGAGTAAGTGGAACCCCAGCGGCCAACAGTGCACAGTTTCTCTGTAAGCAGCGGAGTTGCCCTAGTGATATGCTTTGTGTTCCTGTCCTGTAAGGCTGGAGACTCATTTCCCAAACTGGGCGCTGTAAGGTTTAGTTCCTATCTGATATCTCTGTTTCTGCTTCCCCTGCTCAGGACGGACTCATTGAACAGCTTTATGACCTGATGCTTGAGTATCTCCATTGCCAAGCCTACAGCATTGGATTCCCAGAGTTGGTTCTCCCAACTGTCATTCAGGTAAGGTGTAAGATGCTTCTTAGTCGTGCTGTGAATGTGCACAGAGCGGGATAAAGTCATTTAAGCTAATGGTGAGCTCAAGATGGTCCTCACAATGTGAGGGGAGAGCTGTTTACCTTTTCTTAATTATAGTTTTTCTTTGCATTTTGGGGAATTCTTGGGGAGGAACAGAGGCATTGCATCTAATTAGGAGGCTGAAGGTAGATGAAAGTGGCTGTGGAGTTAGCCACTGTGGAACAGAGGACTGTATAACTGCTGTAGAGATATGTTTTTGACTAGTGAACGCAGATGAGTTCTTGGCAATTCAGAGTTGTCCGAATTGCTGTATTGTTTCAGAGCAGTACCTGTGCTCTGTGAGCCCGTACTTTTCCTTATGGCCTCCCTCACATGCTCTCCACAAGATGGCAATCTTCCCTCCTTTCACAGTGTCTCCATCAACTGGGGCACTTTCTCCCCAGGTCCCTCCATACAAAACAGTACAATTCTTGTCTCCATCCCTCCTCCTTGCTGCACCTAACGGTAGTGCTGCAAAGTAGTCTCCTTTGCGTCTCCCCTGGCATTCCACGGTGCAGGGTGTTCTTTCTAGCCACTTCATGTTTACATACTTCGTTGTCCGCAACAAAACCGCCTACTAGTGCTGTGCGTGGGTGTTTTGTGCATAATCCTTCCCTGATACCTTGCTTGCTGGGTGGCTTCAGTTTTGAATGAGCAGTGACCTCTCTGCTTTGAACAGTAAGATTGCTCAGTGCAAACGTGTTGGAACTTGTTCCCTCCCTTCGTCCCAGTCCTCTCTATTTTTAACTCGTGAGTGGCAGGTGTCATACGAGTTTGGCAGAGGGCTGCTGTCGTATCCTCCATGGGGACGTGAACCTCCGCTTTGCTTTGGTGTCTGCCACGAGACCCTGTGTCTGTATACCTTGTTGCTACGATGCCTCTGGTTGACATGGGAGTAATGTCTCGGTTGGGACCCACAGGCTGCTTGGGAGGCAAATCTCCTTGTTTCTGTTGTATGTAATAGGCTGGCATGTGTCAGGCGCATGACTCTTGGCTGGGTCCCTGCAGCCTGGCACAGGCCATTGCCTAGCTGGCATTAGGCTGCTTTGGCTAATGTGAGCTGACAGGCAGTCTCTGTGCTAGGAGAGCAGCTCCTGTGCTTGCTCTCGCTTTGCGTGCCTCTCTCTTATCGGCAGCGAACAAAGCCCTTTCCTCTCAGCCAGCAGCTGTTGAGAGCATCGAAGCTGTCGGAGCCGATGTTCTAGCTGGAATGAAAAACGGCTGACGGCCCTCTGGCACCAAGCGCCCTGTGGCTTCCAAACACACCCTGGGACCAGCCTGTATTTCTGCAGAGAATTAATGCTATCGGATTCCTATTTGGCTGCCACTAACCACAGCCTCGTGGCGTCTGCTGGGCTGGGGTGCTGAGGTTAGCTTCCCAAAATCTCAGAGTCTTCGGGAAAGGGGGGGGGGGGGGGGCTTTTCTCCTGGAACGGTTCCAGTTAACTGTAAAAATCCATCTGTCCTGATTCTTCCTCCCCGATGAGCTCACGCTTCTCTCAGTGCCGTGTCGTAGGGGCTGTGTTCCAGCTGGCGACGGTTGCGTTCCTCGTCTTCTGGTCAGCGGCTTTGGGAGAAGCTAGGCTGAACTGCCTTCAAACTGAACTTTAAAACCTCCCTGCCTGGAAGGCAGGAAGGACCCTGGCAGATCAAAGGAAAGGAGAGCCAGGAGGGGCGGAAGACAGTTCAAAGGCTTCTGTTCTGCCCAGCTGCTGGGATGACCCTATGGCGGTCACTGCCTCCACAGGCTGGTGAGGACCTCAGAGTGCAGAGCCTGTGTGCCTGGATGCTTGGAAGAGACTGCCTCTTCCCTCCTCTAGAGCCCTGACAAGCATCACAGAGCAGAGGTGGGAGGTTGAAGGGAAGAACTGGGCAGACATCGATAAGGGGTAGGTACTGCTGGGTGGAGGCAAGAGATGGCATGATCTAGGCATGGCTTGCAGCTAGACAGAAGGGCAGGAGGTGCCGGTTTGCCTTGCCAGCAGCCACTCCTCCTGCTGCTCGCTCTCTGTCCCGAGTTGAATATTCTCTCTGCTTTTTGTGAGTAGGGGATTGGGCTTAATTTGGGTTCCCTGCAACACACGCGCACCCCCAGCTGCTTCAGATCATTTATAGTTCTCTGCATCGTTTACAGTAAGAGGAGCTGGGGTTTTGCTGTGGTCTCTGCTGGTATAAACCATTGGTGTTTAAGGCTGGCAGTTTGACAGAATCAATCCCGCTAATCACAGAGCTGCTTAGCTAGGAACCAATGTGAGATGTTAATGACACACACACGCACGCGTATGTTCTGATTGCTTTTATTCTGGAAAGATACGGTTGTTGTATTTGGCAGAGTGGAAAAAGGCATACACAGAGTCCCTTTCTCTCTCCCTCCTCTATCTTCTTTTACCTTCTTGGTTGTGTTCCCTGCCTCTTAACACAGGACTGAGATCTCATTACATTTCGTTAATATCTGTGGCAGATAGTGGTGGGACTGTGAGGGATTGCAGGGGTAGGAGAGAGGAGGGGGAGAGAAGAAATGAAGCATACGGCTGTGAGAGCGAACACACAACACCAAACTGCAGAGATAGAGCCTGAGATTTTGCAGGATTTCTGGTGACACTTCTGCAACGAAAGAAAAATGATAATGTATGTGGCAGCGGATGAAATGGATCTGGGGCTGCAGCTGTGGGGATCAAGTGAGATAAATCGAATGACAAATGCATCTCTCAGTGGAGATAAATATGCAGCACCTATAAAAAAATAAGTATTTTAGAAAGGGGGGGGTAGGTAGGACAGGCTTCACCAGCAGAAGAATAGTTTTGCTGATGGTTTCTTTGTACTTGTTTGATGGGCTGTATGCTTTGTGGAAAGGGGGGAAGGTGTTCATTTTAACTCCCATTTTTCTGAGTTGGATGTATGATGGCAGGTGGGCGTATGCTGGGCATAAAGGGACAAGAGAAGCCCCTGCTGCTAGGTAATGGGGGACATTCTCCATGTGTGTAGCAGACAGCAGATCCTGCAGCATTATACCCATCAGGAGAGCAGTGTCCTGACAGAGAGGGGCTAGGTGTGACTGTCACCTCTTGATTAACATTTAATACCTATCCACTTGGCATGTAAGATCAAGTCAACGTGTGGGCTTGACAGGAGGGAGACATCGTCTTCCTTCCCTTAGCTCTGTCTTTTGAGGCAGAACATTTGAAGCTGTAAGTAGAGAAGGCAGTACTGTATTTTCTGACTAGAAACACTTTATCTCTATCATGATAGCATCTGCAGGTCCCAGCTGAAGTGAAGATTCCATTGTGGTTAACCATTTTCTTTTGCCTTGTTGGATCTCTAAATCAAGTGTCTGTGTTGTGTGCGTGTATGTGTGTATATATATATGCCTCTAGCAAAGAGCTTGGCCTGCAGAATTTGGACAGCACTCCGGAGACTTGTCTTGGAGTTGGTGAAAAGTGTTAGGAGACAGTGTTGTAAACTGGAATTCAAGCCATGAGTCAATCTGGGCACCCCCATCTCTCTTTCTGTCATCAAAAGTATCCACTGCTGCCTCAGCTTTTAGTCTGGAGGTGTCAGAACAGTGCAGTGGTGTTGGAGGGCGGTTTGTATTAGGAGGGGAAATCTTCTCTGGTGGGGAGAAAAGAGGTTTGCTCGAAAACAAGGCTACTGAGATAAAAAAAGAAAACAACACAAAAATGTGCTGTTTTCAATGAAGTCTCATTGTCTGAGAGTAGTGAAATGTGCTTTGGGTGCAGAAAGAGGGCAGGAGCAGATTCTCTGCGAGTAGGATGGTCCTTGCCCTTTGCAGCAGTAGGGTTTGTGGTTTCCTGGCAGACTGGCTCTTGTCCTGAGGGTTACACATAAAGCCTTGGGTCTAAAAGAAAGAATTGCCTAGGCGCATGCTGCACAAGTTGTTCACAGAGATGGTTATTTTGTGAATATTTGTGTGGTGGCTGTGTGGGTTTGTGCCCTTGAAAAATCCGTGGTGCCAGATGGAGTTGGGTTGGTACAGTCAGACACTAAGCAAACTTCACCCCATGTGACTCTGCAGATGGCCATCTGTCCTGACCCACAGCTCTGCTGCTGTAGCAGCACCAAATTTTCCCACCGAGCTATGCCAAAGACCCTTACTCCCAGTCTGCAGACACTTCCACCCCAATTTTAAGTCTCTTCTCAAACTCTGCCTTCAATCCCAGCCATCAGTCTCATCCACAGCCTCTTGTATTTGGTGTTCCCACTCCTGTATTGGCTGGTGTTCTACAGTCTTAACCCACAGGCACCTTTCCCCATTCTAATCCTGGCTTCCCTGTGTTTTTGGCCATCTAGTATCCACTGTTATTCCTGGTCTCCGTGCATCTGGTCCACAGTCCCTCTTAATACTTGGTGGAACAGGAGACAGGGATATTGTAACTATAATGGCAGCTAGGAGCTGAGGCCCCAGTGAGCATAGAATTCTTTCCTGCTGGTTGCTTGAACTCCACTGACACATTTTTTTTCAGAAAGAAGTAGTGTTAGAGGGTGCAAAGAGCTGTTTTTGAGCAAGGCCCCCGCACTGGGTTGCGTACAAACATCTGGCCTGTCACTGCAACTCTTTGCATCCTCCCAGCCTGGAGTGGCAGGACCCCCAGGGCTGAATATGGATGATACATTGGAGTATGGTATGAACTGAAGGGAAAAGGCACCCCATGCTGTCTGTCACTGGGGGCGGGAAATGTTTTTTTGCTGATGGGATCTGTTTATGGAAACTATTATGTTGCTTTCATTCTTCCTCTCCTTTTCCTCCTCCCAGCTAAAATCTTTCCTGAAGGAATGCAAGATTGCCAACTACTGCAAGCCTATCCGGCAGCTCCTGGAGAAACTGCAGGAAAATTCTGCCTACATCGCCAGCAGGCGTCAGAAAGCCACCTTCGGCGTGGCCAGCAGGGAGTCTGTGGTGAGTCTGCTACTTCGATTTGGGCTTCCTGGAAAGACAGTCAGACTCTGGCTGCTGGGGTTGAGCGGGTGGCAGAGGGAGGAGGGACGACGAGATCATGGAAACGGGAGTGTGTGGGGTGGGGCAGATGTTCACAAACAACTGAACTCGGCAGGGCTCTGATGCTATAGCTGGCAAAACTCTGCAGCCAAGAGCCTCATGGAAAACACAGTCCATAAATTACACCCTTCTATTATTTATAACACACACATAAGCACAGAAGCGCCTTGCTTTGCTGGGGCATCTCCTTTTCTGAGAAGTTTCTTTGTTTTCATCATCCTATTCTTGATAGTTCATGCCAGTTCATGCCTAAAGCGATAAGAGGGATTCTGCTGCCTCTGTAAGTGTGTTGTTTCCTCCTAGTCTGTCGAGACTAGTCTCCAGCAGTGTAGAACCAAGGCATCGGCAGACTGCTATGTGGCAGTTCAGGATCCTAAGACAAACCTTTCCCCGTTTTCCTGGGCCCTTGTGGAGACAGAGCTATAGAATCAGGGCAGTTAGGAGCCATAAGAACAGTAATCAAGCATCCTGGGCACTGCATTTTCTTCTCAAGAGAGGTGCTATTACATTCTTCTGTCTGCAGCCTAAGCATCCAGCCTGCTGAGAAAATGCTGAGCACAGTTGGCACCTAGAAAAGTTGCAGTGACTCTTGGTGGCTCATAGCGCCTGTGGAGCAGTTGAGTTAAACGTCAGGATTCTACCTTAGTGATGAGATAAAGAGGAGTGACTAAGGTGATGATGGAGACCCCTCCCCCCCCTTATCTTAGGAAGTGAACTGTAGCACAGCTAGAAAACGGTATATTAGAAGGCGTGTTAGCTAATAGTTGGCCATCTGGCGAACGGGCTGAGATGCTACCTTTTTCCTTGTTTCCCCTGCTCCAGGAGTCTGCCTGCTCTGAGCCAGGTCCTCCTAGGGATGGTGTAGCATATTGTCAGGACATTCCTTTCATTGTCCTTGCTTGAAGCTTTTTTTTTCTTTTGCTTTGCTCCATGCTTCTTTGGAGACCCGTTGACCTGACCTAAACTCTGAGGTGTTTGAAATCCAGGCCCTATGTAAATGAAGCCAAATGGAAGGTAGCCTTGTTAATTAAGCTTTGTTTGTTGTTAGCTTCGAGTTGGACATTTTACATTTTATCTTTGCTTTTTATCTAGCACAGCAGCCTTTGCAAGCCTGATAACAGGTGAACTGTGTGTGTTCATGCATGCCTCTCAGTGTGAGAGGAAGTAGTGGGTCTGATTCTTCTTTGCCTGGCAGGAGAGAGGTAAAAATATCTCTGTCTGCAAGGCAATTGATGGGTCAGACTGGTCTCTCTGGCCACATGGTATCATTGGAAAGTCTGGAGTTCTTGCATCATTGAAAGCTCCACCTGTTGGCATGGAGCTGAGCACGGAGCAGAAGTTGCAGTGCAGACTAATTTGTCTTCAGACGCTAAGGGGTAGCGACTGCAGGACTGAAATCCTGACATATCAATGCCAGGACGCAGCAGTGCTATTCTGGGATTAAGGGGTTGATGGACCTGGGTTTGAAGTGACTAAGTAGTCTTTGATTCTGTAAATGCCATTCTGGGTTGGACTGTTTTTGCTAAAGGAATTAACTTCCCGTCTGGAGTGAAGTGGTTAGGGTTTTGTTGTTTTGTACTTTTTGCGGGCAATGCTGTGACCACCCACCCACTCTGCAGAGGTAGAGATTTCGGCCTCTAGGGCTCTCCGTGAAACAGATGAGCTGGGGAAGGTCATTGGCTAAATAAAACAGGGTTTCCAACAACTCTGCCACTGTCTGCTTTTCCCAGCAACTCTGGCTGTAGTCCCTTGTGTAAGAACTAAATGATGGTTTTAACATCTTGCTGCCTGTATGTCTCCTTGCTGACATTGGTGCACTTGCTTTCCCAGGGACATCTGGGTGGCTGAGTAGCACGAATCAGGCCGGATTGGCTCTGGAGGGGCAGCAACAGGCAGCCTGCCTTGAGTAAGGGAGGTTGGTTAAAGGAAGCAGGCACCGGTTTGCCAAGCCTGTTTGGAGACGGCTGTTTTGCCATTTAAAGGGTTAGAGCAACAGGGTAAAGTGCTGCTCGGGGAGGATGCCTGGACTGCCCGTGCAAGCTGTATTTTTGCACCGTGGTGGTGTCCTGTGAGAGAAGGGAGCCTTTCTCTTCCTTCAGTTAATGGGATATCAGTGCTCCTGGGAGCAGAGGAAACAGCCTACTCAGTACTTCTATGGGGTGGAAGAGCCCGTAGAGGCTTATCTTTTGTGCCCCGGTGGCCCTGTGTTTTCCCCCTCTGCCTTTGCAAGCAGATGGTGTAGATTCCCAAGAAGGGCCAAAGCTCCCACAGAGACTGGGCTTCCCAGAACGATTTGGAGTGTCCCTCGAAGTCTGGGTTGAGTTTGCCAGGCTGTCTCCAAGATATGTGGGGCATTGGCACTTCTCACGAGCAAACACTGCCAGAAAAGGGAAGGGAAGGGGGGGGGGTGAGGGAAGGGGAGGTATTTGCGTGTCCCCCTTGCCAGCAAGAGCAATTGAAAGCAAATGCTCTCTGGTTTTCACATGCATGCATTTGTGCCTGGTCCACTGTAGGGAGCAGAGCCCAAATTCTGAGCTAATTCTTCCAGACAACATGCTGAAATGCAGCTTTCCTGGGGGGAGTTGCAGAGTAGTGGGTGTGCTTTAGAAAGGTGGGTTTTACCTAAGGGTCTATATTATATAATTTTAAAGAAAAAACAACCTGGGGATTGAACCTAGTGCTGCGGGGGGAGCATGATGGTGCAATGTTTAACTTAACATGGAGCGACTGTGGAGGGATCCCTCCTTGCATCCCAGGAACTGTGGTATGGAGGCATAGGCACACCAGATGTGTTTAGCCTGACTTCTTCCACGTTATTTTAAGATTGAGAACTTTTTTTTTTTTTTTTGGTAAGAAGCGGGTTAATATTTGAGAGTCAGTGCTTTTTTTGAGAGTACAATGCTAATAGGTTACTATAATAATTAAGGTCTTTGTGAGAGAAGCCAAAAAAGCGGAGCCTGCAGCTGAAGTTGAATCCAAATGCATAGTGTGCAGCTCTGATTTTAGGTTCGTCTGCACTAGTATGGGCCCTGGATTGGCAGGGGAAAATGCAAGGAAAGAAAAGGACCTGCAGTGTGTGCTGGGCTGCGTTACAGCTCTGTGGCTCCCAGGCAGACCTTTGCGCCAAGCTGGGGAACCTTCATTTAAGAACAGTGCAGCCCAGCAGGCTGTCACGCTTAATGAAATGTGAAGTGAGGGAATGAGCTGATGGAAAGCATTGCCTCATTTCCATGGGATTTCCAGATCTTCTGCATTCATCCCCATCTCACATTTCAGATGGGAGGTTTTTCTGGAGGGTGGGTGATGATCTTTGTTACAGTTGTGCAGGTGCTAACACTGTGGGCTTGATCCATGCTGGGTGTTGCCTGACAGCACAGTGATGCAAAAGCAGTAATAGAAGGAGAATTGCAAATGGTTAAAGGGTGTGATGGCATCCACTCTCTCAAAATTCCTGTTGAGGTGTTCTGACTGGAAAGATGGGAGTATTTTAATGGTCTCTTTTATCTCTGAATTCCAGCACAGTTTAAAACCAAAAGAGCCGTATCAGAACAAATAGACTTTTGCCCTCTGTAAGAAGAGTCTTTCTCAGAATTTGTCTATACCAAGCAGCATCAACAAATTGCCTGATTACAGTTGGCAGCCTGATATGAGCCTGATCTATAAATGGGGTGACTTTGTACTCCTCGGGAATTACTCCTCTTGCCGTAGTGGTGGGTCGGATCGACGGTAAAGCTGTGCTGTCTGCCGGCTGGCGTCTCCGCTCGCGAGTGCTGCTGGAGTCGGCGGTACATCAGCTGTGCTTTCAGTCAGCCTGCCGGGGAGGAGACCGGAGAGCAGACGCAGGCTCCGGCCATGCAGACCTGGAGCCGTGTTACAAACAGTCCCGTGGGGGTTGTGAGTCTGGGACCCGTGATTACCAGAAAGGGCCTGTTTGGCTTGATGCAGTATTGATAGCGCCTGTTACAGGATGCATAAATAGATTCTGCGCCATTAGAGTGCAGGTGACACAAGCTGGTCGCCATTTAATTGCCAAAGTTCAGCTCCTGGTGCCAGCTGCAGAGACCACAGATCATCTCCACATCCCTCCCAGTGATGGGCCAAGTCAAGAGCTGGCGTAGACTGATGTATTTCACTTCACAGTATATACTGAGTATTGCTTATTTGTGTAAGCTGGGAGCTCTGTGCTGCTATCCATTGCGGAGACCTGCTCTTTCTCTCTTGTTCAAGCACTGCTCTTTAAACAAACTTCTTCCTGTGCCTTGGCTCACAGGCTGCAGCCAACACCATGGCTCCCTAGTTTTGGGGCTCAGCTCCCCAGAAGCAGTTGATTTGAGATCTGCTGAAGAATATTTGAGCTGCTGCTGTGTTTTCTGCTGTGAAAATGGTCTGGCCTTTCGTTCCCACCCTCAAACAGGAGCATTGTGAACATACAGCTGCCCATACAGAGCTCTGGATTTGTTCTCGCCCCTGGATTCGGGATACTCTTTTTTGGATCTGTGTTGACCTTTGAGTGTATCTGTGCTAACCTTTGTTTCCATTGCTTGTTCCCTTCTTCCTTTGCCTGTTTCACTTCCTACTTGTATGTCATGACTTCCTGCTCACATTAGATTGACTTTTTACTGTGGGGTAATGCAAAGCCTCTGGGCACTGTGGTAATCCAGTCAACAGGTACAGTTCTGTGTGGGTTTTAAGTTAAAGGGATGTTGGCAGGTTAAGGAGAATGTATTTTAATATGACATAACACCACCTCCCTTTCAGCACTAACATGCCAAACGATTGAAGTGTAAAAGAATTTTTAACCATCTAATTTGCTTCCCACCATTTACGGTGTTTGCGCCTCCTTATTCTCCCTGCTTGGACAGCGGAAACAGGCTCGGCACTTCTTCGTGCTCTGTTCTCTCAAGGTTGGGATGAGTCCAAACGCTGCAGGGGAATGTTTGTTTCAAAAATAAAACACTTGGCTGTAGAACAGGGGGAACAGGCAGTCAGACATCTTTGGTACTTAGGTCTTGTTCTTGTAAATGCTTGTGTGAGGTTTTTCTGAATTAAAAAGCTAGAACTGAGCAGATGATCAAATGCCTCTGTTGAAGGAGCAGGGGACAAATTTTGTCCTGATAGATCCTCTGATCTGTCCCTTTGATTCCTACCTTCAGGTTTCAGTTGAAGTAATTTCTTTTTCATTATAGTAGGCTGCATCATCTGACTTGACTTCTGTGTCAGTGTCTTCTCGCTAGAGTAGAAGTGAATGTTCAAGGCCAAGATAGTAACAGTGGATCCCAGAAGGCATTAAGCTGATTTTAGGAGAGTCCATTGTGAATTCTTAGCAAATCTGAGAATCAGGCCTCTTCTAGGAGGGAGAAATAGGAATCTGGGAACCCACATTTCGGGCCACCACGCTGGGAAAACTTGGTGATCTTCCATAAGCTAAAGAATCTTATGCACCACCACATAGATGCTCCTTTATGAGAACTTTATGCTGTCCTTCAGCACCATTGGCATCCTGTGCTTTGGTATTGCATAAGTAAGCTGTTACATTGGCCAACCTGTCCATTTCATCTTTTGGCTTTCTTTGATTTCCCTGTAGTGCCCAGCATTGTTTTACCTAAGGAGAGTTGTCAGTCACACCACTTCTGACTCAGTGGTTGCTTAAATGGCTGTGCCTGAATTCACACTTAGTCCTGCTTGCATTCTTAGTCATGGTTGCCAGTTTCCTACCCAGAAGCTGGGAGAAGGTGGTTTGGGAAAGGGTCTTAACCTCTGCTCTTGACTCCCCGAGTTTGCCAAAGTTGTATTGGAAAACTGCTTTGAAAACCCTTCTTAAATTTGCACCCCCTCTCTCCACAGGAACAATGGGAGAAGCAGGTCAAAGAGGAAGGGACACCTCTGACCAAGTATTATACTCAGTGGAAGAAGCTAAGAGAGAAGGAGATACAACTGGAAATCAGCGGCAAAGAAAGAGTAAGAATGAAATGCCTAACTTGCTGGACAACATCTGTGCCATGGGAAGGCAAGAGAGCCATGTCCTGCCAATAGGATGGTAGCTGGTCAAAACCAGCTCCACTGGTGTGAGCTGAAATTGGCTTGAGCTGTGTGAGTGTGTAGGCTGGGCATTCTTGGACAGAGCATGAGTATGGCTGGACAGGAGCCTAGCTGGTGTCTTCAGCTCCCTATGGATTTGTCTTGCTGGGATCTCTGGGAGCAACATCTGTCCCCTCTGCCTGTAGCCTGTTCATTTGCCCAAGTTAATAGAGGATAGATGAGACAGGGTGAAGTAGCACTAGGGTAAATTTCCCTCTGTCCCTGTTTAGGTTCATGCCATTCAAGACCCATTGGTACAGCTGCCTTTGTAATTCAAGGCTAGGAAGCTGAAGACAATAGTGATCGAGCAATTGTGTGTACTGGCAGGGGTAGGTTGGGTAACAGATTCGATTGTGTCTGAGCAACTGGGGCAATAGCCTTACTGTAGATGTTACTTTTGGAGCAAGCATGTGATGTAGTTTTGAAGTTTAGACTGTACACACGGTGCCTGTTCTGTGTGTTCATCCCCACATTCATGGCCCTTCTCACATTACTTTGGGCAATTTACATAATTTCTTGCAAATTACATTGCTTTCTTGATAGAAAAGCAGAGCGGGTTGAGCTCCTGTAGGCCTTTAGTCCTTTTTCCAGCTCTGCGGAATGTGACTGGATTGCCATGCTAAAACCTAACTTTGCAAGAAAGTAAGGAGGGGAAGATGCCTCTCTTCTTAGCAAAGGGAATATCAGAGATGAGTTCTGTTTTGCATTTTCTTATTTCACCCATGTGGGGGTGGTTGGTTGTGAGGTGGGACTTGCTGTCTGGACAGAAGTGCTCAGACGGCCATTTCCCACATCTCCTGCCCAAGGGAAGGCTCCTTGGCCACTCCTCATGGCACCGCACTTCAGGATGCAGAAGGTGGGGGTGGGAGCTTGCTTACGTTAGGAGTCTAAAGGAAAGCTGTCTCGATGCTAATGCAATGAAAGTGGCTGAGCTAGGCTCTTGGCCAGGGAGCAGGAAATAGATATAATTGGTGTCTCCAGCGTATGGTGGGGAACAATTAAAATAATCGATGGGACATGAGGATGATTGGCTCTGAGACAAGTCGCAGACCGTGGTAGACGACCTGGGAGATCCTAGAAATGCTCAGTATTATATACCAGCCTGAGATAAGGACAGGAGGCTGAAATTCCCTGGGGCAGCCGTGCAGAGGGAACAAAAAGCACACTTGTTTTCGGTGCAAACCCAGCAGGAGAATGTGGCCTTTGCAGAAAGGAAATTGGGGGGTGGAACTAAGAAACAGCAAGAAGTGATGGCTGTGAGCGGGGCTAACCCTTGCCCAAAACTGGCCCTGCTGGTGTGAGCTGACACTTTCCTGGTACTGAAGCAGCTATCACAAAGGGAGAGGAGATCAGCCCTCGGTGGAGACAAGCCCCGGTCTCATGTTAAAGGGAAGAGGGGAGCTGGAGCTCCTTGGGGTGGCCTCCCCTTGAGGGGGGATTGCTTTTGTATAGCAAGGCTCAAGAGCGTGACTTCTGAAACGAGGGGAAGTCCGAAGGGCAGTGACAGGGACTTGTTTTCTCTTGGAGAAAGTGGGCTGAACAGATAAACCATAGAGAGAGACAAGACTTCGGACTTAGCTTTCTGAAAGGCCTGTGGTTGCCTGGCATCTTTGCTTGGTGAATGGGGCTGTTGTCTGTCTCGGTGGGGACTGCTAGCTTAATGATGCCGCATTGTGAGCCCCAGCAGGAGAGTGAACACCATGAGGCCCATTAGGGCTGGGAAAATCCATGTCCCATTAGCAGCAATTGGGGGGAAAAATAATAACAGAAAAAATCAGCCTGGCTCTCAGCTGCTATGAGCTGCAGCTTGCCTTATATAACAACGCTGACCCCGTCTGCCCATTCCATTTGCTTTTCCCAATGGTTTTTAATGGGATGTAGACTAATCGGCTTCGTGAGACTCAGTAGATTGTAACCCTCTAGCTGGGGATTAAAAGACCGGCCCCCAAATTACCTAATTTACTGCTACTGTGTGATGAACACAGGCTGTATCTGTGAGCTGTGGCTCAGTACAAGTCTCATTCCTTTGCTTTGTGATCACTCTGCAGCTAGTAGGGTTTTGCGGTGCCTTTATTTTGAGGTGCCCATCTTGAAGGCACTCCTGTGGAGTCTCAGAAAGTTGGAGGTAGCACAACTCAGCATGATTCAACACCAGGTCCTCTTTAATATGCTCAGGTTGAGTTCAGCCAGTACTGATGTCACCCAAAACTGTAGGCTGCCTTTGGAAATGGGAACTTTTCCTAGGCAGTATGAAAATAAAGAAGGCCCAGCTAACAGCCTCTGTTCCCTGCTGTACGTGCCCTCCACAGGACACTGGAGAAATTTTTCACAATGTTGAGATAAGTCCCTCTCTTTTGCTCCCTTGAATTAGAGAAGTTTGGAAAACTGGGGAAGACTGTTCCACATCATGTACATGAGACATTTTCTCAAACACAGCTCCATTTCCACTTTAAACCTACTAAATGATGTGTTCCATGGAAACATCCCATGCTCAGGAAGTGTGAGGAGGGGAGAATAAGCCCTTGGATGATTTTTGCATTTCATTTACTGCTGCTGAGGAGTAACAGTGACCAGGGTCATGGAAAACAGGACTAACCAACAGGGAGCTGGGCAGTTGATGCAGCAGTTGTTTGCTGTCAAAACTGGGTTTCTGCTTCTGTTTGTGACGCTTTCAGCCTCAACTATTTCCTGGTTAGGCAGTGCTGGACTCCTGTTTAACTGCTGCTGTTGCTGCAGAGTGATAGCTACCAATGCTGCCAAACAGGGGCTCTGCAGGTAGCATGGCTCTTGGCACAGAAAAGGCCCAAAGGTGCTGCCTGTGACTGGGAGATTTCCAGAGTCGGCTCAGCCATAGGTGCTTCTCCCCAAGGCTGGGATGGCAGCATGACCTGGCTGAGGCAAGGAATGTATAAACTGAAAGGGATCAGATATGGGGACTGTGTCTGTGATCACACCCTAATGCTGGGTTAGAAGCATAGCTGCTGATCTATTTCAGCTTCTGAGACCTTTGTGGTTCATTTCTGGAGCCTCTCACTGAATCAGTATTTCTGGAGCATTTCCCTCTGCCCTCCCACCCTCCACAAAGTTGTATGCTGGAACAAATAAGAGGAGTGAAGCATGAGGCTCTCTTGTCCATCAGAACTGATAGGGGCTAAGGAAAATGTTTTCACCCTAGCAGCTCCCCTGCCCCACGATGAAGCTTGCTGGAGCATAACCACTCTAGGAAAGAGGATGGTTACAGTATGTCATTAGGTCAGCTGAGGGCAGCCGTTTGGCAGTGGCTCCGGATTGCTGCTCTTGCTGCATTTTGCTTCCTAAGTCTCTTCTCTGGCATGCAACGACTGCTGTTTGGAAAGCCAGTCATGTGCTGCTTTCTTCACGTGTCTTCCCCGCACAGAGACAGCCCAGCAGGTCTCTGCAGGGCCGGTGGAAGGAGAGGCATCTCATAGTGGACAAGAGCAGGTGGGAACATGATTTAAAATTAGGACCTTGCAAATGGTGGTTGGTGATTTGCTGCCCTCTCCCCTTCTCTGGCCAGCTTCTGACTTTCCATCTTGGTGCTGCAGGTTATTGCTTGTAAGTGCTCAGCTTCCAGAATCAATATTGCCCAGCTGGGGACCATAACCGTGAAAGAGGCTGGGAGAAATTGCTGGAATTGGCTGCAGGAGCAAATGCGCATCTCTGTCTCTTGTCATCTCTCCCCCCATCCTCATTCACTCTTTCTTTCTCTCTGCTGAGAGCTGCCATTCTATAAGGAGTGTGCTTTGCTGCTGTTCCCGCTGGGGGAAGCTCACAGGAGGGTTGAAGTGGATGTGGTCAGAGAGGAGTGTGTTGAGGGGTGGTCTGATGGGTGGGAGAGAGCAAATGAGTTATTACTCGCAGGGCGAATGTTTCCAAGCAAGCTAATGTGTGCTAATGCATGAGTGCTTCCCAGGAGGTGTGCAGCCAGGCACGGGCAGCGGGCAGCTGATGTTCAGAGAGCACTTGGGATTTAATTTGCATTCTGATTATCTTTGCCCTGCTGGCCTGAGCCCTTGCAAGTAAATCCTCCCCCTAATCCCCCTCCGGAGAGGTGTAAAGAGCAGTGAGGTGGTGTCAATTGCAAGTACTTAATGGCATTGATATTGGCTGTCTGCAGCAGCAAGGCTCTTGGCCCATTGATCTCCATAAGGGCTAGCAACGGGGGAAGCCATGGTCTAGACAGACCTTAAGCATCTTCAGCACCTTGCCATTTAACTGTGCTGAAATCTGCAGCCAGAAAGACGGTGCCTTTGCTATAGCTGTCACAGCTTTTGGCGTTGGTGGAAAGCTGCTACTTCAGAGATGACCAGCACAGTCTGGCTTGATTGTGCTTGGCTGCCCAAGCTCACAGGGCCTGCGTGGCTTTCAGTCCAGAGATCTAGGACAGCCGGCTTGTCATGGATGTCTTGCGCTTTTATCCATGCTAAGGTACCAGCAGTAGATGGCCCATTAGCAAAAGTAGTTTATTAGGTAAAGATCAATAGAGCAGTGGTGCTTTGCATGTATCATTCACCTTTGTAACTGACTCACAAATCTCCCTGTTACGCCCCGAGTTGGCAGCAGGCAGACCCAACTGTTCTTGGCAGTGTGGCTTAAACATACTGGGCAAAGCCAAGTTCCTGTGTTTAAGCTCAGCATTATATGTTTAAAAGTACAAATTAAGGTTGTTCTTACTGTTGGTTTTGGTTTTTTCCAGCTTGAAGACTTGAACTTCCCAGAAATTAAGCGTAAGAAGCAAGATGAAAGAAAGGAGGAAGATAAGAAGGAATTCAAGGACCTCTTCGAGCTGGACAGTGACTCTGATGAGGAGGGTGTTGGATTTCCTATAAAAGGTATGGGGCTGGGCATACCTTCTCCTTGTCCAGAATTCTGTATGATGTGGGTCAATACGGCCCTGCCCGAAAGGGGATGCATGCTGGCCATGTTCGGTTCAAAAGATATACTGTTAGGGAGAGAGAGCACAGGATGATGATGCCTTTTTGGAAGCTTTTTAAAGTGACAGACAGAAGGTGGTTGGGAGGCTTTTATCTTTCTCTCCCTCTCCTACTTTGTCAATCCAGCTCATTTTAAAGCCTTAGTCCTGCATTAGTCTTTTTCTGTACATGATCCATACTCTCCTTCCCTTAGCACCTTTCTTTTGTCACAGACACTGACCTCAACCTGATAGCCCAGAAACCAGGGGATGTTTGGCTGAACACAGACTCTGCTTTCAAAGGTTTCAAAGTAGCAGCCATGGTTCATATTGTAATTCCCAAAGAGTGAGTTCTCCTTCTTGTGCTTATAACCTGTGCAGGTTCTGGGCTGAAGTCTCACCTTAGAGAACGTAAAAGCGTTTGCTGTCTTCTTGCACTGTGAGTGGAAGTGCAGAAATTCATGTTTTGTTTCTGCACCTATAAAAGAGGAATAAGAATGTTGTTCTACCTGACACCATGCTGGGTCTTTGCTGTAATACGTCATTGCAAACAATAGCTGTCATAAGGGCTGGCTACCAGAACAAGGATCTTGGATGGAAGGATGGTTATCCTCTCTTTGCATGCACTTCTGATTGATTTATTTATTTTATAGTCACTGACATTGCAAGTATTCTTGACAAGCCAAGAAGGCCTAGAGCCTCTGGAGAAAATGGAGTGATGTCACTCTCTGGCTGTGACCACGAGAGGGCCACAGTAAATTGTGGAACCTGCCTGAGAAGTTCACCACAGAGTTTGAGGAAAAACTTAGATGTTCTTTTTGTAATTTGGAATGTTTGGGATATCACAGGTTTTCTAAACGCATCATCGTTCATATAGTAGGGCGACTTGCAGGAATACAGTTTTCTTGTTTGGAGATTTAATCTACAGATAAAGGCCTAGTCTGTTGTGCACGTTGTAAGACGTGAGGATAAATCTTGAGACTTACCGTAGAACCAGTGAGCATTGTCTCTCTCGCAGGCATCTCTGACACGGGAGAAAGAAAAGGTTGGAAAACTCTTGTTCGATAGCTTGAGGCTGAAGTCAGTGGATTTTTTTGTAGGTGACCCGGCAAAGAATGGGAGAGGAGAGCAAAAGTAAGCACATGATCCACCAAGGTACTGGAAGATCAGTGTGACATCCAAATGATTTGCTGAGATATATCCTTGAGATCTGGGGTTGTCCTGCCTGCCATAAGAGTCAATGCCTTGGAAGAATCGCAGTGGCTTCTCAAAAGGCAGTGATAACTGCAGTTCAGAAAGTAGGTTGCTGGGAGACAGAGTGTCTTCCTCTGCCTCCCAGGAACTGACTTTATGTACGCTTGGGAGGTTTCTCGGACTGATGGATTTCTGGGTGTACATTGGGATCCTAATGAGGCTACTGACGATACAATACAAGGTCTATGGCAGCTGTCTGTCTGGCACCTAATGTACGCAGCTTCTACCTTGTTTCTGGTGCTTGCCTGCTCACTGTAGAAATCTGCTGATACAAAGGTTTGCAATCTACTTGTTAGGCATGGCTTTTACCCCCCCTGCCTGCGCACGTGCTTGTGACATCTGTCCGTAAGGTTCTTTGGCAGCTTTAAAGGGCTGGCATATATTGTGAAGAGAGTGCAAATAAGGACTAAGGGCCACGTGGTATCAAAGGGCTCTCCCTGCTCTGTTTGTGTGAGTCCCACAGCTGCGGTATCTAGTCTGCGGTATCTAGTCACTGAGCGTGCATCAGCACTGCAGTGTCAGTAATGGGTCTTGCCTTCCAACATTCCTGGGTCAGCTGCCTCTCCATAGCCTTTGTTCTTAGTAGGGTGTTTTCTGGAGGGAGGGAGCAGACCCTGAAGGCAGCTTCCATCTCAAGGAGCAACTGTGCTCGGCCCCACCATGGATCCCAAGGTGCTGGGTGGAGACAGCGGAGCACTGGGTCTGTACTGTAGTGTAGGGGGAAGTCCCCTCCAGGCAATGGTGTGACTCCACAGTGGGAAAGGGACAGGGAACAGGGAGGCTGGGAAAAGCGCCTGTGTCTTGGGAGATGCATACAATAAGCTCTTGTTCTTACTCTGTGTGGGGCGTGAGATGTTCCCAGCCGTGCTCTGCATTCAGTAACTGTCAGGGCTGGCTGCAGATGGAAGTCAGAGAAGGCGGTGCTTCAATTTGCTGCAGTTCCCTGTCTTTGTGGCCATTGTTCTACCCGGTGGCCAGATGCAAGGGAATTTGGGAGGCCCAGCAGCTGCTGTGGCCTGTGTATTTGCTTCTTTACCTGTGAGGTTTGAAGGCATAGCAATCACCTCTCTTCAAACAAGGCAAAAGGAAAGTCTGGGACAATGGAGGAACTTTGGTTCATCTGGAATCAGCCTCGGGCTACTTCCAAGAGAGACTGTTGAGCAGCTGATGGCAGAAATCTAGGTAGGAAGATAAGACTGCCCTGGATGGACCTTCTGGGAGAGGAGAACAAGAAATAGAGCTGGAAAACAAGAAATACAGCTGAGAATGCCCAGTGATGCTGACCTGCTTGAAAAGTGACAAGGGGAGACCTGCCCCAAGACAGGGTGGTGCTATGAAAGTAACTGTGACACTGATGTGTTGTGGGGATCTGGGAAGCTCATCGGAGCAGATTGGCCCTTCTAACACAACACTACTTCCAGACATGGGCAGGAGGAGATGGGACTGGTGGGCTATGCCCTCCCTGCTCTGGGAGTGGAAGCAGGGGCATGGTTTGGGAATGCCAAGGCTAATGTGGGAAAAGAATAGAAGGCTCACTGGAAAGGTTAACCATACCCGGAGATGTCCATGCTCGCTTCATTAGCAAGGCTTAGCAGTGGTACCCAAAACTCTGTTCAGAGTTCTTACTGGAAAGAGCCAGTGCCAGAGTCCTGGGGATATGCAAGTCTCTGCAAAGAAGGGGGAGGGAGGGAGGGGCTGCTGGAAAGGAAGGAATTCCCTGCCAGAGAAGTTCTAGCTAGGTAGTTGCAGTGGTCTGTTGCTGTAACTCATCCTTTTGGGCAACCCCACACGTTAAATCTGCGAGGATGGTTGCCCTGGTCTGGAAAACTCTTCCCCCTGATGATTACTACATAAAAGTCTGGATTTCAGAACCTGCTGCTAGTGCAGCTTCATTGTGGCTTCCTGGTGGGATGGTGGGTATGGAGGCATAGTGAAGATGGCTCCTGTCTCTCACCAACCACAGTATTTGGCTTGGCAGAATCTTTCCTGTGTTGACAGGACGTTCTTCTGTTTAGTAGTTATTTTGGCCTGTCAGGTCCCAGACCAGATTCACAAGAGTGGAAAATTGCCTGCTAAAAGCCAGGAAATAATCAGTTTTCTGTTATTTAGCTGCTGTTCAAAGGCGCCCTCACCTTTTCTTTTGATTTAAATTAAGTATTGTATCAGTGAAATGTTGATTTCAGTCTACGCTGTCCCTAATCTCTCTGGAAGAGGGTAGGCCTGGAGAACGGCTATAGTTCTTGGGCTAACCATTGCTAGCCAAAACATCTTGCTGATTAACTAACTTCTACCTCAAAGACCTTTGTATTTTTCAGAGCAGAGCAAGCTTCTGAAGAGGTCTTTCCAATCCCAGGCAGGGACTGAATGGCACGCTTTTCCCAAACTGAGGGGGTTGGGGTGCTCTCTATTCTCACAGTTTGCTATTACTCATTCCTGGGGGGGAGCAAGGGTAGATGAAGAAAACTGTCACTGCACGTGGGAGGAGGGTAATGTGCAGACCGTGTTGTCCTCCAGCAGCACTGGTGCAGTTGTGCATTACCTTCCCTTCTGTTCTGAGCATCCCCCTTTTTTTGTCCACCCCACCTCCACCATTTTCAGCTGTGCCGTAGCAGAGAGAGGAGATTCGCTGCATCCAGCCCCAGGCACTGCTGCAGGAAATGGCCGCCGGTGGTTTGGTGTTTGCATCTCGCACAGCCCTTGGCCCCAGCGCGCTGCTCCCAGATGGGAACCACCCGCCCCTGCTTTCCTCCCGCAGGGGAGCGGGACCGGCAGCAGCATCTGGCAGAGGTACCTCTTCCAGAATCCTCCCAGAACAGCATCCCTCTAGCAGGCAAGGAGGGGCTGCTGGGGACTGCCCTGGAGTTGAATAAGAAGCATCCTAGATTTCCCAGAAAGTAGGAGAAACCGCAGCATGGGCTGGGGAGCAGATTCAGATGGGTTAGGTTCCTGTGGGGAGAATCAGTGTGGGCATAACATTGTGGGAGTGGATTCTCGCAGGGCAGGTGCTCCTGGAGGTATCCTTGGAGTGATTCAGAGGTGAAAGTTGGCTACAGCCAGGTGTTACAGCCTTGGAATCTTTCTGCCCTTCAGCTCCAGAGCTGCACTGTAATTGTATGTGTTGAGGAGAGGGATAACAGGCAGGTGCATCAAGATGCAGGTGCAAGCTAAACACGTCCAGTGATCTTGCAAGTATATGGAGATGCTAGGGAAGAGGAAGAAGTATGTTCAGGGCAGGGGAGGTTACAGGGCAGTCAGCAGCTTAGAGATGTTCTGATGTTCTGATTGTGGAGAGACCGTTTTGTTTAATATCCACTGATGAATCTGCTGGTTCCCTGATTGTGCCTGATCCTCACTGTTAACGTGGCTTCCACAGCATCCTCTGGTAACAGGGTAAGACATGCCACAACTTTAAGGTAGACATTATTTGAAAAAAGCTTTTTTTTTTTTTTTTTTTTTAAGCCTACTGCCCACTGAACTCACTGATTACCCTTTTGTGCTAGCTACAGCCATCAGCCTGCTTTAATGGACCATGTAGGATCCAGGCATAAACCTATCTCTTAGGCCTGTCTTCTTCTGAATCCTAACCCCAGTTTTGTATTAGGCCAGAGATGAAAGGCTGATAGCAGGCCATCCGCTCCCCTTGGCCCAGGCCTTCTTCTAGTCCTTCAGGTCCTGCAGGACCCAGCAGTAGCTAAGCTCTCTGATCCTTCGTTACCTTAACCTCAGCCTTAGCAGCCTCACAGCAGCCAAAACCATGATAAGTCATTTATCTTCGACAGCAGCAGCCTTTTCCCTAGCTCTGTAAGCTTTGCAGGTCTTCAGTCTCTACTTTCCTGAGTCCCAACCCTGACTTCAGCCTTTGCTGTAAGCCACAGGACTCTGATAGAAAAAGCCTCGCACCCATCTGAATCTCCATTCTCGCTTCGCAGGCCTTGCTGAATCCAACAATGAATGAATTAATTAATCTCTTCTGAATCCTAACAAGACTAGCAATAACAAACGTTTCTGCATCTGGTGTCATGTTTATAGAAGTCTCGTTGGGTTTCTTTGTGGCTTGAGCCCCTGCTCTGTGAGTGCTGGCACTTCTGTTTATTTTAGGGGTTCCTGAAAGAACGGACAGGGTGGTGGACAGTTCTTTGGAATTCGGTCAGTAAGTTCATCAGCACAAATGCGTATCCGCTCCATTCAGAACCTGGGAGTTAGGAGTGCTGGTTAGCTCCCTGTCAGTGCCTCTCGCGTTGCACTGGAAGACCTCAACCGAGATGAGGTGGGGGTTTTGAGACAGGACTTTGAGTTCACGTGTCCAGGATCCCAGCATAGTGGTCCTTCTAACAAGGTGACACTGCCTGTTGGCTGTCTGTTTCTGGTTGCGTTGTTTAGGTCCTACACCTGGCTGTGGTGCAGCCATACCAGGGAATAAATTGCAAGCAGTGTATAATGCGTGCAGCAGATACGGCTGCACAGGAAAAGGAAGGAAAGGGATGAATTTGCAATTGTTTTTTAATCCTGTGGATCTGAGGGGAGATTCCCCCTACCTTGCGCAGGTGGAGCTGAAAGCTGCCTCCTCATTTCAGCAGGATTGCACACCCCTGGCATCCTCCCCGAGGGGGCAGGCAAGGTGGTGAACGCAAACAATTCCATCACATCAAGATGAGCTGCCCTCTGGAATGGAGAAAGCATTTGGCAGGCAGGAGAGACTCCCTTGCTTGAGTCTCTGCAAGGTCTGAAGAGGGGAGAGAAACAAGTTTGCACATTTTGGGTCCCCCTGACCAGGCAAGGGTGGAAAGAGCCAGGAGATGGGGAAGAAAAAGCGTGGATTTGATCAATCTGTGTGTCACTAGTGGGGGTGGGGAAGTTCATGTGTTCCTCTCATTTACCAGCTGACAGATCTCTGGGAGGAAAGGCGGCTGCTCCTGGAAATTATTAATGGCTTAGAAAGAGGTGCTGGACTGCCTCGTCATGAGGCAATTAAAGGCGAGAAGGGAGTGTGGCTGCAGCATCTCTCTGGGCCTGGCTGTAATGAGTGATCTGTCCACATTAGGTGTTGGTGTGCCTCTAATGAACTTGAACAGGTTTCTTCATTTATCCCTCACATAATCATATTACATCAATTTAATGCCAGACTGGTGGGGGCGAGGGGGGTGGAAGGAGAGGTCAGACATTTTCATTTCCTAGCAGAATCATCATGGCCCTTCTTAGTGGCAAAATTCCTGCTGTGGGCTGTCAGCTTGAGGATCTAGAGGCAGAGTGAGGAGGAAGAGGGGGAAAAGCACTGGTTAACCGGACCACCCTAAGCATTGTCTTCTGGAGTCTTGCTGATACGCTCCTGCTTCAGGAGATGGAAGCTTGAGTTCTGCGCGAAGGCTGTATTGGGGCCTCTGTGTGTGTGTGTGTACATCGGTGGAAGGGGAGGCAGGGGCTGAGCTTAGGGGAGGGGAGCAGGAGGCTGGAGAAGTTCAGTAAATTCCTCTTAGCGGCCTGCTGCCTGTGTCGTAGCACGCAGGAATGACCCAAGGGCCCAGTAGCCGATTCCTGCCCACAGCTGGTTTCTCTGCATACTCTCAGATGAGCTGGTAGCTGGATCTGTCGGTGCTTTTGCTAGGGCTGCTTGATGGATGAGAGCGTGCCCCTCGGTTGTTGCCTGAACTGCTCAGGTGCCCATCAATATGATGTGGTGCAGCGAATAGCACTGCAATCCATCTCCTGTGGAGCGGGTGCTCTCCGCATGGCTGCGGGCGCCCGGAGAGCTCCGTCCATGAGATGTAGCTTCCGATCCCGTGGGGGGCAATTGCACAGAGGCTGCATGCTGGCAGAGCTGACAGATGGGTGAAAGCAGAGCGAGCAGGGTGATGACGGGGAGCTGGGAATGCTAGCAGCCAGCTTATTAATGGCTCTGTATCCAGTTCAGTGAGTAACATAGGTCAGCTGCTGAGGAGGGAGGATGGGGCAAAAAATAGATGCCACGGTGGGGCCCAAGAATCGCAATGTGAGAAAGATGTACAGCCAGTTTCCAAGCAGAGTCTGAAGTGTGAATAAATAGCTGCTTCAGCAGTTTTGTAAGCAAGGCCAGGCAACCTGCAGCACTGAGCCGGGCTTAGCTCAGGGGTGGTGGCAAGAAGCTGGTTCTTCTGCTCCCTCTGTACAGAATTTATATTCTGTCATTTAAATGCCTGGTGACTCACACTGTCTGGAGGAGGGAGAGAGGGGAGAAGCAATCCTCCACTGAAGCGAACTCAACATGAATAAGAGAAGTCCTGTTCCAGAGGCTCAGAGGCAGATGGTTTTCCCACAGGCCAAGCACCCAGAGACTCTTAATACTTCCTCCCAGGCTCCCTTGGACCTGCCTAGCCATCCGCAGAGGGAATTTGCAGCAATATCTGTTCCTAGACCTTTTTGTTGTGACTAACAGAGGGAATAAAGCCCAGAGAGGTTTACAAGGATGCCCTGAACCAGAGAATCTACCCGTTTTCAGTTGTGTATAACCATGGGGGGTGGAGGTGGGTATACGCAGGCACCATTTCTGAGTGAAACCGCCCTTCTCTGGTCTCAGCTTCGTGACTTATTCCTTCTCCTTTCTCATGTCTGTTCAGTAGGCCCATTTCTTCTCATTGTACTCTTCTGTCTGTCATCCTCTCCTAGCTTTCATGTCTCTCTGAGCAGGGGAGACGGGTTTATGACAGACGCTTGGGTGCTGCGCCGGTGGTGCTCCGCAAGTACCAGGTAGCAGCAAATCCTGGGCTTTAGCAGTAAAACCCTGCTATGGGCTTCTGAGGTGATTTCTGTGACTCTCTGTGTCCTGGCCTTCCTGGCCTCTAGCAGGTGCCTCTGAAATGAAATGCATCCTTCTCTGGGCCTCTAGTGCAAGGGGACTTGGCTTTTGGAGAAAAATGGTAAATTTCCCCTTTAGTGTGTATATAACTGTACTCCTGAGGATGAGTGAGGATGGTGGTACTTTGCCCTTTGCATATACTGCCTGCGTGTATGCTCCTGTGCTGCTCTTTCCGTTTCCATTTACGTAGTAAAAATATTTGCAGGTAAAGCCAAAGCCAAGCAGGCATCAGACGACAGTTCAGAAGCAAGCAGCAAGGACTATGGCGAGGATGATGATGAAGAAGAAGGAAAGTATGAAATTGAGGAGGACGAGGAAGAATTGGAAGATGACAGTGACTCAGATGGTAAGTAGTGCAGTTGGGCAAAGGGGAAGGGAATTATTGACAGCACTGGTAGCCGAAGGCTCCTTTGCATGCTGGGGGCTCCCCTACAAAGGAATCGTCTCCTCTTTTCTTGCTGTGCTGCTGTTCTGAGCTGTAGGGTGTCAGGAGGGACTTCTACACACAGACATACACACGCCCGGGACAGGGAGACCTGGCAGTTCTGAGTTTATACTGAGAAGAGAGCGAAAGGGTTAAGGTCTTTGCAGGCCTTGCTCTAACAAGCCACCAGTCCCTTTCATCTCTTTTCAGGGGCCTCCTGCAGAGAGGCTCAAACAAACTCTTGAAGTACAGCCCACCCCAACAGGGTACAGAAACCTTGCTTCAAGGCTCTCCACAGGTTACACATGCATGGGGGTTTCACTTTTCATCTGAGCAGTGCCTGGGGTATGTATGGATGGGGTGCTGCACAGGTGTAACCCTTTAGTTGCTGCTTCTCAACAGCTCCTCCCAGGATAGGACTGGTAGGAGATCTTGTCCAAGTCCTGCATTCCTCTGGGGTTTTTGCACTGAAACAGTGGTATTTGCCAGGACGTGTACAAACCCTGCTAGAAGCGCTGCCTTCGCTCTGTGCTTGGTCCCGATCGCTTCTGCCAGTTAGTAGCTGCTGCCCAGAGAGTCGGTAAAAGCGGTGGGTAGCAGCGTGAGGGGCTACTAGTTCAGCGTGCTCCTAGCAGGCCAGAACAGCCGTCTGAATGGCTACCGAGAAACCTGCCAGCTCTGTCACCGGGGCTGTGCTGGATGCCAAGGCAGGCTTTGTTGCAGCTGAGGAGAGAGCTATCTTCCCCTTCCGTCCCTTGCACAGAGTCACAGCCAGCTAGAGAGCCTGCTCGGCACCCCAACAGCGCAGCTCACCGCGTTCGGCTCCGTCTTGCCTGCGTCTGCCAAGTCGCTCTGCTAACTTAGCAGACGGAAGCTGGGCCTGCCAGGGGCTCTGGCAGCTGTGGTGTTCCTTTGCTGGTTTTTGTGTGCCACTTGCTTAGGCCTTTGTATTAGAGCGCCAAGCCTCTGCTCCTCAGCGTGCCATTGGGCGTGATGTGTGGTTGTGGGGAACAGCCACAAAAGCTCCTGTGTGTGCAGGCTTTCTTTACTAGTTTGGGGAGCGGGGAGAGCAGGAAGGGGGAAAGAGTCCAAGTGAGAGCAAAATCTGACTGATTTAGCGTGGCAGATGGCTGTGGCTTGGCATGCACACCCAAACCTCGGCGCCGAGAATAGATGGGTATTTGATGCATGTTCTGACAATGCTGTAAAGGATAAAGAGGGAGAGTTTTCCCTCTCTGCCTACTGGAGTACTCAGACGAGCTGAAGGAAAAGCACCCTTCCTTGGTGTCTGGGGGAGCAGGAACTCTGATCCTCCCTTCCTTCACCCCTAATGGCAGCTTCCTTTGCTGTGGCCTGTAGAAGCACGGCATAGAGCCAGCAGAGTCTTTTAGTGCTTGGGTACACTGGTGTAGTGGCAGTGACGTTCGGGCCTGGTACTCCTGGCCTGTGGCACTTTTTCAGACATCAGGCAGGCAGATCCGCCCCTCCCAAGTCTTAAGCTCTGTGTGCTGAGTGTTCCTGTTGTGCTTTTTACCAAAACACATGTATGCAGCCTGGTCGCGCAAGGGAACAGCGAGGAGCTCGTGTCCACGACAGCTTCCACCCTGCAGCAGGCCAGAGCCTTAGGGGAGAACTCTGCATGTGCTCTCAGTGCCCTGGAGAGGCACTTCTGTGGTGCTCCGGTGTCACCAGGGCAGTTTGGAAAGACGTGAACTGCGGTGAGCACCCAGCGGTAGCTTTTTGTCCTTTTTGGCGAGTGGGCTGAACTGGCAGAGCCTGGCAGCGGATCCAGGGAGCGCTGAGGAGCGGGAGAGGAGGACGCCCTCCACAACCTGGTGGGCGTAAGACCAGAGGTAGGAATTGTTGCTGAGCAGATGCTTTGCCTAAGGAAGATGGTCTGCAGGGCCCCCCAAGGTGTAGGAAGCTCAAGCCACACTTCTGGAATGACAGGGAAGGGCACTGGGAATAGGGACATGCACAGTCCTGCACAGCCCCCCAAAACAGGTTCTCACTTGTGCTCCCCACTGTTAAAATACCATTTCAAAAAGGAGGGAGCTTGGGGCTAGTTTTGCTTTTGGGAGTCTTTCCGTTATCTATGACAGCTCCTTTCTGTCAGCTCTTAATGCCCAGCCTGACACCTCTGGTGAGGAAGACTGACCTGAGCTGCAAGGGCTGAAGGTTGGAGGTGCTGCTTGTCTTGTGCCCCCGAGTTCTTTGTGTTTCTGCCTCAGGCACAGGTTGGTTAGGTCTCCTCTCCTATTGCCCCAAGTACCTCAGAGCCGAGCACCCTGCAGTGCTCTGCTCTCCTACTGCTATCTGGGAGCTGCGGTGGCGCCAACAAATTAATGAGTGTCTGGGATTAATTAGCAATGAGTTGCCTCAACTTGCCTCACTCTCATCTCCCAGTAAAGCAGGATTTACACCTCTCACTCTTTCCACCCACAGAGGAAGGCAAGGAACCTGCTCGGGTTTCCCAAAGGTCACAGAAGCAGAGGAGCTGCACTCGTGGGATGTCACGGTCTGACCTCGAACAGCTAGCTCAAGGAGAAGAGGACATTGTGGAGGACTTAGCTTTCTCTGACGATGACTGAGCGCCCTCACAGCCACTCCCTCCAAGCTTATCCCTTACAGAGCTGCTGTGTACTGGATCACCCAACCTTCAGCACCTGTAGCTGGTTCTCAAAGAGGTGGTAAGAGCTGGGGAGCATGGAGGGTGGGAGGCCACCCCAGGTGCCACCAAGGACTTTCTCAGTGACACAGCAGAGATGCTACTTGGACTTTCAAGCTTTTTCTACCAGTTATGGTTTTGGTAACGGTAAAATTGCGGTCATGTCGAGGCCAGTAAAAAGGCTCAGTATAGGTAATAAAAAGCCCTCATTAAAATCTGCTGCTTTAAATAGCATAGGGTTCAGTTTCAGCTCCTGCTGGAGCATAAGTCAGCTGACCAAGGGAAGGACAAGTTCTTTTGTCGAAGGGTCCTCCTGTCTGTTCAGCCAACCACCTGCGTCGCCCCATATTTTGCTCTGGGGCCCTCAACCAAACCCTCCTTTTTGCCAAGAAGTTCTTAAGGATTGCGTAGAGTGTTTCAGAGCTTTGTATTCTCACTGCAGATGGAAGCCTTTATCAGCAACATCAGAAGCAGCTCAGTCAGTTCAATCAAGCTGGCTGTAAGTATGCTAAAGAAGTTAACTTCAAGTAAGTGCCTTAGGATACGGAGTGGGGGGTGGAGATGGGCGGTTGCGCAGGCAGGAAGGAGTAAGAAGAGGCAAAACTAATCACATACATAGGAAATATTTTCATTTTGTGATGGCTGTTGGGTTTGCACGGGATACATTTGCTTAGCAAAAACAAGGGACAAGTCTGAACCTGTGCTTTGTAACAGACCTATTGTTATCCACAGTGACATAAAATCACCTCTTTCTAGGGCCAGTCCTAGCTGCTGACGCTGGTGGTGAACACCGTTTTGTTCTGCGAGTCCTGAAAACAGTACTGATGACTGCAGGCTGTCTTGGGCACTCAGCCTTTCTTTATTACCTCAAAGCCAACCACTGCATCACCTGGGCAGCTTCTTGATGCAGCTCATTATATGTCTTCCTGTAGGAGTGGTACTTGTGGGAGGACATTGTGTAGCTCAAGCTGGGTAAGGGCAATTTGTGATCTGCTGGGAAAATATAAACAGCTTATCTCTTGAGACCACTGTTAGTTTGCAGGACTGGCAGCTAGGAAACATATTTCTTTCTTTAGGATCTTTGGAAAATAAACTGGAAATAGAGGGTATTTGCTGAGAGAGGTAGGAAAAGTTATGTATTCTTAGGGCGTATCTGACAGCATTGCTCCTGAAAATTAACTGTGCCTTTTGAGAGCATTGTTATTTGTTAATGCAGATTTTTGGAAAAGAAGACAGAAGGCCAGGACTAAATATGATCTTTTTATTCTTCCCTGCCACCATTCAGTGAGGGCAGTAGCTGTCAGCGCTAGGGGTGGCCAAGCTAAGTGCAGACATGGTCATCTTTGCCTTCCGCACTGCCTATGTGTCCCCTGCCAGGCATCCTTACTCCTGCACACCACAAGAGGATAAGATGCTTTTTTTAAAAAAAATTCAAAAAGAACAATTTTTTCCTTTTTCTTTTTTTAAGTTCTGTTTTCCTGGAGTCAGAAGAACCACAGCTCAGAAACACTGCCTTATTGCAGATAAAAACCCAGATGTACTGTAGCCTGGGTAGTGGTCTCCCTCTCACCCACATGTGTAAATGATAACAACTCGGTGTATGTAAAGAGGTAATTATGGTCTTCCTGTCCTATGCTGAGTGCTGCTCCTTTCCTGCTTCCAGACATCATTACTGCACAGGTAATTACTGCTGTAGTACAGTGTTGTGGGGTGTTTGCTTCATTCAGAGTTTGTTATGTCTTTTTGGAGCTTAGTGGCAGGAATAGGGATAGAGAAGGCTTCTTTTTCCCAACTGCAGTTACAGTAATTACTAGACCTGCCCTTCTAGACATGCAGCTAGATACCCTTTGTCCCATAAGGGGGAGGAAGTAACCTCAGAAATTAGTAATTTGGGTTTTATTAACAACATCATAATTATTGTCATTATCATTTATAGCCCACTGAGGGGGCCAGAGCACCTGCTGCTTCATTAGGGGTTCAGGAGCATTTGAGACTGAGGTTTCCTACAGCTGGTAAAGGCTGTGTCTTCAGGCAATTAATTACATATGGGAGCCTGGGATATGACTGCAAAGATGAGAATTGTAAGGCCCCAGCTATAAGAAAAAGGTTTTAACTTAACTTAACTTACCTTTTTTTCCAAAAGAGAAAGGAGTGTCTTGTTCTCTGTCCTCTAACTTAGCTGGGCAAGGTGCTGTCTGCCTTTTGGCAGCTGTGAACCAACCCTCAGATTGGCTTTTAGGCCAGAAATGGAGGAGCTCCGCTGCACCAAGAGTTATCAACACCACCAGCGGTAAAGCATACGGCCCCAGTGTACACACAGTGAAAGAAAGGAGACTTCTTGGGTAAAGCCATCACTTGCAAGGAGCTCAGGAAACTAGGTACCATTTGTAAATTAAGTGTTTTTCTTTTTTATTTAAATTGATTGCTGGAAAGCATTTTTATCGTGATGTGATGGATAATGACTTTTTTTTTTTTTTTTACAATATAAAGAAGCTAATGTACCACCAAGCTATTTTGTAAGAAAAACGGTAGCACGTGCAACGTTTAAACAAAAAAAAGGGGGGCAGGGGGAGAGAGAGAGAGAGAGAAAAGTACCACATGTGATTGTTGTTCACAACTGTACAAGTCACAGGAGGTCACCCCCAGGAGTTACCATCTCATTCACAGTAGTAAAAACTCTACCCATTGTTTTTAGCCTGAATCCCCCAGCATCCCTCCCCCTCCTCTGGGAACGCACAGGTATCTGTCTCGTGGTCCACAGCAGGCCAGAATGTGCAACTACATCCACCTCTGTAACAAGGCTTTAAGAAGAACCAAAAACAACCCTACGAACAAAAAAACCCACCCCAAATGTAAAAATGAGTCTGTTGTACACGTGAAGGAGGGAGGGGGCCACAATGGAGTGAGGCCTGTGACCCTTCATCCCACCAAAGCACACACTTTTTTTCTTCTTCTCTTTAAAACAAAACACCTAATGAAAAAAAACCAAAACACCTCTGCAGGGCTGGAGCACAGGCAGAGTCCATTGTGTGTGCTGAAAGGGACAACGTGCCAGGGAAGAGGGCAGCCTCTAGCCTGTAGGACAGCCGCCTGTGCCGTACCATCCACACTGAAGTAAACATGGACCGGAACTTGCCTTTTTTTTTTTTTCTTTTTTCTCTTTTTTTTTTTCTTTTTGTCTGTCTTTGGTATTGTTTTTAAAGTTGCTAGAGATGCATAGACACCTGAATGAGGAACTGAGTACAGTTTCCAGGGAGGAGGAGATATTTGGGAAGGTGGTTGGTTTCAATTTTGATGGGTTTTTTTGCTCAGGGGTGCTGAGTACCATTGGGAGGAGCAGTGCCCGTTCCCTGCTTGTAGTCACACCCAGAAGTTCCTGAAAGCCATGTTTCTTTGAAGGCCAAGAAAAGCGTTCGTTCCCTGTCCACGGCTCCATCTCAGACTGGTGAGCGAGAAGGGGTGTGAAAGGGAATGGGAATGCTGCTGCCATCCTCTAGAATCATTTTCTCTCCACTCGTGTTTTCTCAGTACATCTTTGGATAGTTTTCTTTCCTTCCCTTTTTACAGTTTTTAAAATTTCTGTGGGTTTTGTTTTTTTTTTTTTAAAACAAAAAGCAAAAAAATTAAAAACCTCCCTTCCTCACTCCTGTGTCTCACACTGCTGAGGGAGGCTCTCCTGGTCTCTCAAATGCATTACCTTCAGTTTGTTCAACTGAATCTCAGTTCCAGAAGCAGTCAAGAGCTGTCCTGCAGTTAAGATGGAGGTTTCGCGGTGTCATTGATCCCAGCAATGATGGAGGGGTTTCCGTTTTCCTGCTTTGGTGAGACACGGCTGGCAGAGGGCAGGCCGCTGCTGAAGGGGGAGGCCACGCTGCCTGTGGAGGATGGCCGGAGATCAGCTGGGGCCAGGTCCCGCTCCGGTGGCCGTAAACCAGGAGGTTGCAGCGGGAAAGCCATGGGGAAGCCCGCCATGTACAGAACTCTGCCCACTCTCTTGGCAACCTATTAAAAAAAAAAAAAAAAAGAAAAAAAAATGCAGGGTGGCAAAATGGCACTGAAGTACAGCTGCAGCTGCAAGGTCTACCCTAGATCACATCTTGCAGGCTAAAGAAAGTTTTGCTGGGACATACAGTGCAGGCCCTTTTCCTGTGGCATGTTTTGCGTGCATCTGTGTTCTTTGGCCAGAACGAGACTGAAGGCCTTGCGGAGGCGCAGGCTGAAAGGAAGCGTGCAACCCAAAGCTGAACCAAGTCCAGCCTCTGATCTGAAATAATTGGGTCTCACTGTCTCATGAGGGGACTATGGAAACTTGCAGCCTGTGTACCTGGCTAGATAAGGCTGCATGGACAACTAGGATAGTGCTCTTTCTTTGTCTTTTGTGGACCGCAGCTCATCCTCTTCATGAGTGAAACACAGTGGTGGTAAGCAGCAGTTCCTAGGTCATCTCTGCTACACAAGATGTTGGGAACATGCCTGTCTGTAGCTGCCTTCAGGTGAAGGTGTATCAGGTGAAGAGGGCCGACTGAGTCCTACCAATTCTTTTACTTCATTAAGAGGCACCACTGGACAGACAATTTGATAGAACTCTTCTGCTCTCCTTTTGCTAAGCCAGCCCAGGGTAGCGTACAGCAGGACAGTACACAATGTCCACTTCTGAAGAGCAGGAATTGCTCTTACAGGGGGGCTGGGACAACAGGGTGAGGGAGGAAAAAAAAATCTGGCTACAGGGTGGCTGCTGTTAACTGCACAGGAAACTATAAGCCTGCAGCCTCTCCCTTCTTCTGCAGTACTGAAGAAAACTCTCCTGAAGCAGTTCTCGCCTCCCAGCAAGGGCCAAAGGCCCCACAACTTTCCAGCACCTACACAGCTGTTTCACATTTAAGCTTAAACAAAAACACAAGCTTGTGTTCAAACCAGACAACTGCAGCATTATTCAGTTAGCAACATCAGGACTTTGCTCCCCACTTACTTACTCCCCCCCCAACCATGCCTTATTATAGAACTTTAAACACTATTGATTAAATTGAAGCAGGGTTTTTCTAATTTCAGCCCGTATCTCACATTCCCCCCACCAAATCCGATCTAAGAATGTCTGTGAGCTATTTGGCTTTCTCTGTTTTTTAAGAAACATAAGAGTTTTATTTCCTACTGAATTGACCCACGGGGAACAATTGCCCACAGAACCTTTTTATTAGACCCCTCATAAACAGTGAGGGCTGTAGGGAAAGTAGTAAAGTTGCTCTTATTGTTTTAACATAATGTAACAAATGTATAGCTTGTGGGTTAGGGAAACCGTGCCAGAATAGTGACTATCTGTGCAACCCATGTATGTGCACATGCACATTACTGTCACAACTATTTGCATGACATAATCCCCTAGGGAATACAATAGAACAGCCTGTTCTTGACATGTGTCAGAAGCTATCTTCTGATCATTAAATGGAAAGAAAAGAAGCTAGCGGAGATGTTCTTCTAGATTTTGAGTCCAACCAAGGGGAAGTGGAGGCAACCGCAATGGAAGTCACCATGACTGCCAGCTAGGGAAGGCAGGAGAAGAGCAAAGCAGTGTTAGGAAAGCAGACCTCTACAGGCAGAGACTTGGGGGCCAAAGCATAAGGGGGGGGGGAAAAAAAAAAAAAAAAAAAAAAAAAAAAAAAGAAGGTATTTTGAGAAGAAGAAACATCACTATATGGGCACAACAGCAAACTAATCTGTTGAGGAGGAAATACAGTCCCCTAAAAGAAAGAACTTGACTAACTCAACAAAGGCAAATACCATTTCTACTTCCAGTGTATCAAAATACAAGTGAATAGCACAAGGTGGGGGGGGGGTGGCACGGCCCATCAGCAAGACCAGTAAACTATGACTAGCAAGAGATAAAAATGTTACGGCAGTCTATTACTAGCACAGCAGAGAAGGGAAAGAGCTGGTCCATTAGTCACTGGGGAGGGAAAGTAATCAACAGATGATGCTGAGATGTGTTAAATGCATTTGTGCTTCAAGCCTCGCTAAAAAGGAGAATCGCCAAGAGCCACCTAGTTACAAGGAAAATGAGCAGCGCAAGGACTTACGTCCAGTCTAGAAAAAAAAAGACAGCTGGTTCCCGAGGTGGCTTTACCCAGTTCTTTTGGTACTTCGGGATGACTATTTTCAGGTTCAACTGATTTGAAACCATCTACCTTGCCTTACCTGTTTACAGCCTTCCTTCTTTCCTGGCCAGTATTTGTGGGAACAGCCTGACGTGTCTTTTCTAGCAGGAGCTGGTCCGTTTTAGGAGTTTCCCACTGCGTCCCTGTCTCTCCCTCCCACCACTTGTCCCGAACCATTTGTTTCTGCCCCTGGGCACTGAATACTGTCCGTGTTTTGTTCCTGAAGCAGTTATGCGACTGGCTCCAGCTGAGGATATGGAGCATTTTGGAGGACAGATCAAGCTTTCTTGAAACCAGAATTACAAATAAATAAATGAACAATTACTGCTTAATAAATTATATTCAATAAACCAGGTCTCTTGACAGCCCTGTTCTGGCTAGGGACAACTTTTAAAGCATGCCACTTGCTACTACGTAGGAAGTTTTCCTACCTGTGACCTTATCTTCAGTGCAGGTCCGAGTTTGAGCCCCATATTGTTCAGTAAGTGCTCTTCTGTCAGGAGGGGCAGGGTCTCACCATCAATAGCCTGCTCTCGGAATACCTGCAAGAAACCAAAACACAGGTCCAGGCTTAGAAATGCCAGTGAAGTATCTGATGCGTTCGTCTTGCCATTCATTGCACAGAAGTGCACTGGTAGAAAAGGTAGACTCTAAGAGTCTCAGTGGTGAAGTAGGCCCATATTAATACACGAGAGGCATACACAGTCCTGTATCCACAGCTAGGAGCCAACAAACAAAAGGAGACACGTGTGAGAATGCGAATTAGGGCTGGTTGGGCCAGTCCAGATAAAGCAATACTTTTTTTTTTTTTTTTTTTAATGTTGGGATGGGGCATGGAAGTTTTTTTTCCTCTGGGGAACATCCCCAGGTTTAGCAGCCAAAACAGCTGACCTAAGTGCAACATTATGAGTAAGCCCAGCTGATAGCATATGATAGCAGATTTGAGAAAGAAGAGTGACAAGCCCAGGGGCCCTATCCCAACTCCAAAAAGGGCAGAAGACATAGGAGAAAAGATAAGAATCTAAATTTTGGCAAATCCTAGGTCACTCACACTTGTGTGGATATTTGGAAAAAGTTGACCCAGTAGACTTCAAAAGTATTTGCAGTCTTCAGTGAGGCATATGCAATTGAAAAGGAGGAACTTGCTTGTTCATGCATTTCCTTCTCAAAGCTGCTAATTTCCAAAACAGTCTCCAGGCAAAATACATAAAGAGATCTGTGGAGCACATTCTGCAGGTTAGATGGATTCACGTGCAACACTCCGTTTTGCCCCTTTTTTTTTTTTTTTTTGTCTCCTCCTCTGTCTGTCATATATTACAACCATTCCTAGAACATGCGAGCAGCCTGGAGAATGTAGTCCATCGTGCTGTTTGGCAGTGACTCCTGATACCTAGAACGCCAACTGGGATCAGGGAAGATGAGCCCTCCGCACCGGTCTGTTTTAGCACTAGGCCCTTTCTTTCCCCCCCCCAACACTTCCAGCATCATGGACTAACAAAAATACTGCAGTGCCATGTATTGACCGAGGTAGCCAAGCGGTACCACTAAACGTGGCATGATCCTACTGAGTCAACTGCACTGGCCTTTCACAGAGTTTCCATTAACAATACAGCAAGTCTCTTACCCCTCTCCTGGTTAGCTGAGTGAAGCAGAACCTGGTGATGTGCATACACATAATCACAGAAATGACAGCAGGGCTAGTATAGTCTAATAAAATGGCAGTTTCATATGAACACATTCTAATAGACCCAGCCATGCAAAACTATACCATTTTAACACATTCTTAAGGACAGCAAAAAATACTTTGTTTTGCCTCTATCTATTTCAAATGACAGGGTCATGCAAGAGTTTTCCACCTAATACGCATTGTGTCATAAAGGTTGAGGTCTGGATACGTGGTTCTTATTGCTCCATTCTTCATCTATAGAGCAGGGCTACACTTACACCAGCCTCCCGTGGGTGTTTATTCTGGATGTACAGGCTCAATACTTCAAGAGTGAACTGCCATCATTTGGTAATTTAGCAGCAGGTTCCCCTTGGTTCTGGGAGATGTCAGTCAGATGCCTGGTTTTTCTTACTAAACCACACCTCCACTCCATAGCGGGTTTTTTTTCACAACCCAGCTTATATTGGATGCTCGCCCCAACGAACTGTCTGTGGGGCCTGATCCTGCTGCCTCTCCATGCAATGGCTTATGCATACCATTATTATTATTACTAAACACAATGGCAAGGGAGGGGGGTTCAATTTACTTTAATGGCTTCTTTTTCAGCAGCACACCGTAGCCCAGAGCCAACGCTTTGGAGAGTGGCAGTGGCTATTAGAGCCAAGGCAGCTGAGCTGTTGCAAGTGTTTTTTACTGCTGGACTCCACCAGCAAAGCTGCTCATGACTGTAGCATGTGTTTCTGGTCTTTGACCTAGCAAAACTTACTATACCAATTTCTATTCCTTCCTCTGAAGCCAACGTGGCTGGGAGCCAACAGCCTCCCTTCGCTCGGCACTAAAACCCTCCACAAAAAGCCTTAACTTGAGAAAAGCATCCCCCTTGGGTATCCCACCGGTCCTGATCCACTGCAGGGACAAAGCTGAATATTGTCAAGGGTTGAAATCAGGCATGGCAACTTTTGTTTTTACTGAAGTTTTCTTGTTTGTCTGAAACATGTTTCTAAATGCACAGCATACCACCAAACTCTTGCTGGGTTTTCCTGGCAGGAGAAGCCTGCAGACCAGTGCCAGACCTCCCCAGCAGCTGTGGTTTTGGAGAAGAGAACACAGACGGCTCTGCAGTTTAGAGCCACGGAGCTGGGTCGCCCTTGAACACTGGCATTTTCACATAGTAAAAAACCTGTTAAGCATATAACCATAGCGCATAAAAACGCATCATCCCTTAAGCCATGCACCCCCTACATAATGCAACATAGCAAGGCCACGACAGGAGGCTGTTTACAGCGGCTCCCATTATCGTAAAACATTTTGTTTGCAATGCACTGAGAAGATTGCTGAACCTTTGTCTCGGCAAGCTATTGATTTCTTCCCCACTGGTATACCGGGAGCTGGCATGGAAGGTGTAAATGGATGATCCCTCTGCAAAGTGGTTGCGTTAAAGATTTCTGCACATTTCCTCCCGGCCTAATTCAGAAGCTTCCAGGCAACTCTGATCTTCATTCCCCAGCGTAGGAATGCAGACAAACTGCAATGCCATCACTGCAAGAGCACACTGGGGTGGGGGGTACCAGAGAACACGAGTAGCTGTATTATTTTAGTTTTAGAGCCTTTTGCTTAAGCTCTTTCCAACACATACTGCAGCCCACACATGGATACTCCTGAACCCATCCCCCCATCCTCACTAAACCCAGCTCCTAAATTCCCCTCTATGCACACAGAGCTGCTGCTTCTCGCTCCCATAAACACCCATCCGTCCCCGTCCACCATCTTTTTTTAACCACTGTCCTTTCCCTCCCTCTCTCCATAATCAGACACTGACCCTTCTTCTCTTCCACACACTCAGTCACCCTGATCCTCTCCCAAGCGCAACCCAAACCTCTGTCATTCTTCTTGGGGGACGGTACACGTACCCCATCTCCGTAACAAGCTTTCACTTTCCTAAATACCGCCTTTCGCGTGCATGCATATCTGTTTGCTGCAAAGAAGCACTGGTTTTACAGGTGGTTTTAACAAAGCATGTTGTGATGGGATTATCACGGTTAGGGGACAACGAAGTACAGACTTGAGATCGAAAGCACATTATCCTGTTACCTGAGCAAGAAGGGGGAGGCGTGGGGCAATTCCAGGTTTCCACTTCCCCATCCCCTCTGGAGGGATGCAAAAGCACGCACCTTTCCCCGCAGCACACGGCCAAATCAGCATAACCTAAAGGGAATCACTTCCCAAGAGCCAGATACGCACACCGCTCTCCTAACTGGGGGTCCCAGCAGAAGGAGGGGTGCTGAGCTTTACCCTTCTCAAAATGGCTAGGGGTGGGCATAAGTTCTGGGAGAGGACGCTTGCCTACCACAACTAACAGAGGGAGAGACAGCAAGGGCCAAAGAGGGGGAGGCGGCAGATTTTTAGAAATCGGATTTCAGCCAGCCTGGATGGCAAAGCGCAGCTTTGCACTCCTTTGCTGTCAGTCAGGGAAGCTCCTCTCTTGAAGTGGCATGTCCGGAAAGTTCGATTCCCGCTCTCCTTCCTCCCCTTCAAGACCTGTTCTCAGCCTAGGATGTCTCTCTGCTGAAAGGCTGGATTGTCCTGAACTTTGGCCCTTTGCCTCTCTATCTCTGCTACTTTCAGTCCCTCCCTTCTAAGCACACTATATCCTCTTCACAAGGCTGTCCCAGACAGCTCAGGAATCTGTGCCTTCGCAGTTGGTGCATTCTCTCAATGGGGCATTTATAATGGACTCGAGCAGATGCAGAACCAAAAAACACAGGGTTGCTTTTTGTATTGCACCTCATGATCTCACACTGAGCAGGCTTTATGAAGCCCCCGTTACTGATGGATGTTTCAACACTGCTGTAATGAGCTTGAAAATCACAGTCGCCATCACTCTACAGTGTAAACACAGAAGTTACTTTGACGCTTGTGCGGGCAGGGTCTCTCGCAACCCCACTCCGTCCCCTAAATACTCTGGGCACAGCAAGAGAACGCAGCACCTTCTGCCAGGTTGGCTGGTACACCGAGCTGCCCACCCCAATCCCGGGGACTACCTGACAGCCCACCCCTCAGTGCAGCCGCTCCACACAAAGCCACCGCTGCGGTCAGCTCTGCGATAGAGCACAGGGCGGCTTCTAAAAGCACGAGCTGGACAGCGCGAGGGAATTGACGCTAAGCCACTAATCACGATCAACCCTGCAACTCAGATGCTCGCTCCTAACCTCGCTCTTACTCCCATCCTCTCCCACTGTACTCTCCCTATTGCTCTCCATCTGCAAGCCCCATCACCACTTTCTCGGCGTCTTCACTGGCACCAAGTAGCTATTTAACAATCCACTAGGGGGGAAAAAAAAAAAAAAAAAAAAAAAATCAAAGAGCTTCAGGCCCTGCAGGGCTCTGAGATACACCTTCTAGGAGGGACAGCGCAAGTAAAATAGGCACAGATGGGAGGGAGAGAATCGGGGCCTGCAGGGAGGACGTTCCTTCCGTGATGTTCTTGAGGCCGTTAAAAAAGATTTACCTGAGTGTACTCGGTGCAGCCAGACAAGTTGGACACAAAGCTGCATACGTCCTCCACCGTCCATTTGCTGATGTCTTCCAGCGCAGGGCTTTCCTCACCATCCAGAAACAGACCTCCCATGGTGCCTGGATTGTTTGGAGTTAGGGGGGGGTAGGAAGGAGGGGAGGAGAAAGAAACATAAATCATTAAAATCCCACATGGACAACAACTAGACTGCAATCTGAATATTTTTCTCTAGCCACACATTCATCTTTAATGACCTGTCAATTAAAGCACTGGGCAGGGTCAATTCATAGGCCTCTTCCTCCTGGAGGTCCCCTGCTTAGAAAGGGGGGCAGGGGAAAGGAAAAATCCCGGCTAATGCATTTCATGTGTTTAATGTTCTTCAGCTGCGGGGAAGAAATGGGGGGAGGGGAGAGAAAAGAAAAAACCCTGAAGGAGTGTTTCTCCACACACACCGCAAAGCGGAAAACTCCGACTGCCCTGTGGGTTTCTTTCCCCCAACCCTTCTCCTGGCTACGTGCTCCGAATGATAACAGGCCCCGGCACCTCTCCCTGGTGGCCCGCTGCCTTGCCCGGAGTGCGAATCACCGGAGAACGAACGTCTTGCTCTTTCAAAGCACTCATTTTCAATCCACCCCAGCTCCCGAAATATCCATCGGATCCGTCTGCCCCGACACAGCCGCTGCCTCAGAATACGCCGCCCTCCGCTCCACCGCCGCAGGAGCTGGGCATCTCTCCTGGCCGAGCATCTGACGGGTGACGGGATGACCCCTGCCAGCCCCCGCGACACTCTGAAGACAGCACAGCTCAGTTCAAGCCGATATGTCAATTCTCCGAAACGCAACAGCGGTTCAGGTCCCAGCCCTGTCAGCAGAGACGAAGGTGATGGGTTCCAAAAGGGTGGAAAAGAGCCCCCCTGCATCGCCAGTGCCTGACAGCATGGGACGTGCACGCGGGGAGAAAACCGGGCTGGAGCCGAGAGAAGAGCTGGAGGAGAGGCACAGAGAATAAGAAAAGGCAAGAGAAACACCAGCCAGGTAACTCTTACCTACTGTAGCACGTAAAAGGGAAAAACGCAGAAACAAGTCATGAAGAAACCTAGTTCCAGAAAACACCACTTCGGGGTGAGGGTGGGGGGAAGGCATTATCAACCTGTGGAACTCACTGCTGCATGATACCAGCTAGACCGAGAGATCAAGAGGACATTTACAGGCACGTGAGCATCCATGATTACGGTGGGTAGAGAAAGCAGTTACGAGGGGTACAAACTGTTACGCTTCAGGGCACGAAGCAAGAAATTACCAGAAAAAAAATACTTCTCCCGGGGGTCTATCACGACAAAATTATCTGTCCTGTAGGCTTAAGGTTTTTCCTGAGGCATTTGATCAGCACCACGGACGTAACCCCTCACTGTGACTCCTTCGCTTCTGTCCGCAGCAGGTCGGGTAGCACTTCTGCAACTAATGACAAAATAAAGCGGGATGCAAGAAAAGCACGGTGGGGAGCACAAGCCCGGAGAAGGAGAAGCGGCTGGTTCCCTGGGGGAACGCACCAGGTCAGAGGCAAGAGGCGCAGAAAGAGCAAACAGCAAAGCCGCACGCTGAGCCTCCGCTAGCTAGTTGGCAAAGCCACCAGCACAGTCCAAGGTAACAGGAAAAGGACAGGATTTACAGAGGAAGTTATAATGCTAATAAGATGCTTTTAAACCAGCAGCAGCCTGCACGAGAAGCAGTCAGACGCTATGTAATCATTTCCACTACGTTTCCGCTCCCAACTTCCCGCTTCCCTTCCCAGCCTCGCCCTCCGCACCGTTCCCGTAGCTGCGCCACCACTTCCCCTCCCGCCGTGCCACCTCCTCTCGGGGAAGGAGACGGCAACGTCTGCTTCAACCGAAACTGCGCGGCCCCGGCTGGCCAACGCGCGTCTCAGCGCGGTGATCGTACAAGGACCGCCGGCCTCCGCTCCCAAACGCCCCTCGGCAAACGGGGACGGGTCCGCATCTCTCCTTACACGCGCGGGCCAGCGCAGACAGACAAGCGCCAATCCCGGTGCCAGAACGTCTTGGCTGGAGAGACGGGAGCCCTCCAAGGCCTGCTGCCTCTGCCAGCGCTACCTGTCCCTCTGGAGCGGGGACAGGACTGTCCCTCTCTCCCTCTCCCCATGCCTCGGGGACTCTGGCACGTCTTTGAAGGCCTCCTTGCCAGCGCTTCTTCCCAGCCCGGGACCCTCAGGGCGCTCGCTGCGGGCAACAACCGGACTTTTCACACCTCCCGCACGTCGGTAGTCTCTACCACAACCTTCTTGCAGGCACAGGGCCCTCTCCCCTCCAGCCTAAGTACCAGGCTTGCAACACGCTCCGCTTGCTGCTCCCCGGGACGGCTCTGCCTGGAAGCGACGTGCCGAGCGGGGAGAGCTCGTTTTCCCCCGCCTCGCCAGCCCGTGCCCCGCTGGAGGCCGGGCAGCTCCTCACCCTCTTCACACCCCTTCTTTTTCCAGCTAGAAAAAGCTTCAAATACTTTTGTGCGTCTGATAGCAGCTGCAGAGAAAACGACCGGCTTTCCTGCGAGCTCGGCGCCTGTCAGCACAGGAGGTGGAGGCAGAGGCCGTTGCCAAAGAGCCAGCGAGCGCTTCCCTTCCCCTCACCACCGCCAGCTACCAGACAGACAGACAGATGGACACGAGCCCTCATTCTCATTCCTATTGCATTCCATTTTCCAGGAGACAAACTCACAGCTGCTTATGTTAAAATTCACAAAACACTCCAATGGCTGAGGGCTTCCCCCCCCCCCCCCCTTTTTTTTTTTTTTTCTTTTTGCGGGGGGGGGTTTTTCTTTCTCAGGGTGGGGGGTAATTCCCTTTCTCCTCTTTGGAAGAGTGGCTGCAGCTTGGTAAATAAAGGAAGTGAAACTGAACTCAATTATTCCAGGCACAGTCAATGCTCGGGCGAGACACCTCCATCTGCAGCCAGAGCAAGCGTCTCTGAGGGGATCTGACTGTAACAGCCAACTGCTTTAAAATTAGGTACTTCCTTATTCCAAAAGCAAGCCAAGGATTGAATTGCAGCAACACAGCACTTGGGAATGAATTCTCCAGTCACCAGCCAGCCAGACCCATCCTCAGACTATAACCTCAGCCTGCACGGAGAGAGGCTGGTCAGCCCCCGCCAGTCACGCACACACTTTGCCAGGTCCCCACCAGCAGAGGGGAGAGATTTAGCCCAGACGCTGCTTTCCCAACTAGCAGGGATGAGGGGAAAGGTGTTAAGGCTTCCCTACGGTCCCCCTCCTGCACACGCGCTGGCAATCCTGGAACCGCACCGAACGCGAGATCGTTTGCAGGGTTACTGACATCGCCAGCAGAGCTGGGCTAGTGACTGCTTCTCCTACAGAAACCTCTCTCCTCTGTGGTTTTCTTTCCTTTGTCTCTTCGTGCCCCCAGAAGAAAGGAAGGGAGAGGTCAAGACGCACACAGATGCACACAGTAAGCCTGCTGTGTCCAAGTCTGAGGGCAAGACAGGCCCGCTGTATGGGAACAAGAAATATTTTCCACGTACCCACACACAGAGAAATCTAATACGGCCAAAATATTTATCTCGGAGAGTTTGTTTTCCCTTCCCATTTATACCAGGGAAACAGGGACTGACTGGTGGAAACATTCTTGGGAGGGGGAAGGTAAATACCAATACTTCGGGTTCTGGTCTATTAGCAATTTCTGTGCCACAGAACTTAAAAGCTAGAATAGGAAAAACCTATTTCCACTGAAGTTAGAGGCAAAACACCCCCATTCCCTGCAGAAAAGCCCAAAATCTCACGGTGCCTGCAGAAGACCTCAGCCCTAGTAGCTCCAAAGACTCAGTCACCATTCTGTGTACTCAGCACCCCTGAAGTCAGGGTCGCGGAGCCTGGTGTTCAGGTGTGTCCCCCCTCGCCCTTTTGCTCCCACCTCAGCTGTGTCACCGGTCTGAAGTCACCAGATGCAGGACTAACGCCAGGACGGACTTCTGCAGGACGACACTGGACCCTCTGGCCTCAGCGTGTATCTAATTTGCAACTAGAACAGGACCGGCCCTCAGCACACTGCGTCCAGTGACTGGCCCTTTCTAATTTTACAGTCCCTGGAGCAGAAGGGCTCCTGTCCTTCCTCCCATCCCTCCTCAGGAAGATACTGCACCGTCTGCTCCGTCTCTGTGCATGGCTGCACCCACTCACCACTGCGCTGGCAGTTTAGGGAATGATAACAAATAGGTGCCAAGTGGCTAGAAGGGACGCACCTTCTATTATAATAATGACATGTCACTGGATCCTGCTGGACTGCGAGGATGCATAAAGGGCAGCATCTATTCCCTGCCAGGCCTCCTCTGTCTTGCTCTATGATAAATGATGGTCCGAGAGACTGGTAATGGATTACAGAGCATTTCACCAGATGGGGCCCAGCGTGTAGAGACTAAAAAGAATCCATCGTCCCAGGCCAGTGTCTTGTAGACAGGTGTCCACGTAAAAGCCCTCACCACCCATGCCGCAATCCATTTATAAGTTCCCTCCCTCCTCCTGATATCCAGCTGCTTCAGAAGAGAAGCCAAAGACTGAACGGGTCAGGGAGAGCAACCCCTCGGACTATCCCAGTAAGGGAAACCTCTGCTGCGAATCCAGCAGCCAGGCTGCAACGGGGCTGTCTCTGCTGCACGGAGACACACGAGTTTTTGCTCCTGGCACCTCAGGAGACAATCCGGGTGCCAACTGGGAGACCAGTGCACAAAGCAAACCCACTTGGAAGTCAGCCCACCTATGGGTTTAATCAGTTTTGCTACCACCCTCCAACCCCTCTCCCATTCCTCCCTGTGCGTGCCCCCCTGCCTTCCCATGCACCGGAGAGGGCTCGGGTCATGGAGCGGCACTGGAAGGCTTGCGTTAATTGCTCTCCAGACTACAGATCGATAGAAGGATTTTAGCCTCCTGCACACTCCATCCTTCACCTTTTCCAAAGGACGGGGCTGGAGGAGGGCGCTGGGAGGAGGAGGGGAGCAAGGCTGCTGAAACCTTGACGAGATGAGGTCATCGAGCAGCCGCCAGAACCCCAGAAGGCAGCTCAGGGAATCGACCCAGCTCTGGCTGCCTCATCGATATTCTTCCCAGTAGGGACAGAAAACAGCTCTCTGCCTCCAAAGGAGGAGCCTCCCCTTGCTGGAAGACCAGAGGAACGGCCTGAAACTCAGTGGTCATTTTCAGCCAGCCACTTCTCTCCTCTCCTCTCCTCCCTCTGGCTCTTCCTTTCAGCCCGCCACGTTACCTGCCTTGTTTAGGTGGTTACCTTATAATACCAGCCTCCAGTGTACAGCACAACATCGTGACCAGCCAGGCCAGAAGAGCAGTCCTTGTGCAAAAAAGGGATTACAGAAATTATCTGGCACTGGCGGAGAGGTGGGTGCAGTTCCGTCTGTCTGTCTTCAGGTGGTTTGTGTTCCCCGAGGGCCAAAGTAACACACTTTTCATTGAGACACGTTACCCCAGCACACCCCACGATCCCCGCAGCATTTGGATCAATATAGCCCTCAATATTTCAGTTGCTGAACTCCCAGCTCCCCTATCGACCTGCTGTGCTGCATCGAACAAGATGCCCCGTCTTCCCAAGGCTGTTTCAGGTGAGAGTTTTTGCTATGCAGTTGTACAGTGCCTAGCACAACAGGGTCGGTGCTGCTGTCCCACAAACGGGCAATATGAACAGCCGCGACAACGTGTGAAGCTAGCCGAAAGCAAAAGAGCCCTCAGGAAAAGACCTACAGCCCTGGAACAGGCTCCACAAATCAGAAGTGCCTGAGAACCGGGCAGTGAAACACAGCCCTGATCTTTGCCGAGGCCTCAAGACACGATCGTGATATAAATTTGAAGTGATAATAATAAATGGCCTATTACAGTAACTCGCACATTGCTGGGGGAGGGAGGAAACCCATCTACAATCCAGGCCTCCCTGCAGAGCCTCACACAAGAGATGAGCAGCACAGAGCCGTGCGTTTCCCTTTTTAATGGCCAGGAGAAAAAGGCTCCTGCAAGGAAGCCTCAGCAGCCCAAGGCAGCAGGAATATTTATCATGTTGGCCACCTGCCTGTCATAGAAAAATCGCTTCCTCCTTCCTGGTTGGAAGGCAGCTCTAATGAGTGATGGGCAGCCACGTTCACAACCGCAGCAGCTCTTTGCATAGAAAACAGGCAGCCTCGGCGACCCACATGCCATACCCCCCCCCCTTTCTCCCTCCTCCGTGTGGCAGGAGGTCCTACCTCCTGCTAATTGCTCAGCCGAGTAATTAGCTGAGGCAGGTTTTGGCTCCTGGCTAGGCTAGCGGGGCTGCTGCCCTGCTCTGCCCACAGGAGACCCCAGGCAGAGCAGCTACCAGGGTTTGAAACCCCACTTTGTACCCCCTGTACTTACTGCTCCCTTCTGGCTCCAGCTGTGCCTGCCTTTGCTGCCCAAGAGACTGCGCCGCTGGGGACCACAGAGCTGGCAATGACTTCCCTGCCTGCCTATCCCGTCCAACAGGCACCAATCCAGCTATACCAGTGCCTGTGAGACTGAGAAATACACCACAGGCAGAGGAAAGAGCACATCTAGCTCTGCCCTGGAAAAGGAGCACAGCAGTAGTAACTGACACCTCCAAGGGCACAGGGCAGCCAAGACGTGTAAGTCACTGCTGGGGAGCTCTTTGACGCCCCATCCCAAAGGTGTTGTCTCACATGCTACTCTGGAACTGTCCCAGATCTGACACTCCGCAGGGAGGAAAATGCTGCAGCCTTAATCCTTCTTTTCCCTCGCCTCAAACCATGGCAATGCACAGCGGGAGAACCAAGCACGTGGGAACCAGCCAGCCACCCCCCAGCCCTGCACATCCCCAACGCGCCTCTCCCTGCAGAACAGCCTCAGCCTCGCTACCAGCCTGCAGCCTCTGCCCACGCAGGACAGATCCAAGTCACCCTGGGAAGCTCCCCTTCCATTCCTTTGTCCTGCTGTACCCAACCGGTCCCCACTCCCTGGAAATCTCATGAACGCAGCCCAACAGTCTTCACAGCCTTTCAGGCCACCATTCCAGATACAATACGTCTGGCCCTTTATTTTGTAGGGCAGCACCTTGCAGCCATTCATCATTTTTGTTGCCTCTTCCTGAAGCCCCCTCTAGTTCACTGGCGTTTGTCCTGAAACACGGCTTCCAAATAAGGCCCAAGCAATTGCAAGATCCTTTAGTCCACCATACTGCGATCTCCCACGCCTGGGACTCACTTTGTCCCTGCTGGCCCTCTTTATGACCCTTAATTTCCTTCATTGCAAATGGAGTCCTTTATACTAATTAAAAGACGACGCTCGGTTCCCTACAGAGAAAAAAGAACTAAAACCGCACTACAGAACAGGAGGGGGGAAGAGTCCCGCTCTCAGCACACTGCAAAACATGTCACTGCTCCGGCCCGTAACTCAGCGACTGGCCCTCACGCACTCACCTGCATGGAAGTACGGGCTCATCGTGTAAGGGAATCCGAAGGGCAGCGGCTGAGGTGGTGGGATGGAGGCTGGCGGGAGATATTTCACCTCGTTTTTGTTGATGCCTGGGCCAAGCAAATGGCTGGGGGACTCGGCGCTCGAGGAGCTGCAGGGGGCATTTTGACTAGCAGCCGCTTCACCCAGCTCCTTGGCCCCTTCGCAGACTTTGCCTGTCTCTTTGCACTCCTTAAGCTCGGCAGCCGAGCTGCTGCTCTCAGCCTTCAGGCTCTCCGGCTTCTCGTCGCTCACATCCGCGTCGCTCTCAGAGTCCTTCATCTCCTCGTCGTTACAGTCTGGTGCCCCATCCCGCGCCCGGGGCTCCGCCACCTCCTTGGCCTCGCTCAGCCCCTGCGGCTCAGCGCGGTGATGTGCCGATTTGCGGCTGCCCCGCCGGGGCTGCTCCTTGGGCGGCGTGGCGCTGCTGGGGACGCTGGGGTTGAGGGACAGCAGGGGAGTGTTGTTGTGTCGAAGCACCAGCATGGCGTTCCTCCGGGAGAGCTCTTCCCGCAGCGGGTGGCCCTCGGGGATGTCGTGCACGTTACGCAGGGCCGGGTGGTCCGGGGGCAAGCCGGGATGGAGGCTCAGGGGGTCACCAGCCAGTAGCCTTTGCCTGTGGAGATTCTCCAGCTCTTTCTGGCGGATGATCTCAGCCGACATCTCCAACCTAAATTGGGAGAGGCAGAGAGGGAGCGTCGGTGGTGGGGAGGAGGGAGCTGTGTGTAACTTGCTAACCCCCAGCCACTGCTGAACCAGAGCTTGCAGGATCAAGGTGTCACCTCCAAACCCCCACGCTGTTTCCGTCCGTCTCACCTGGACACCGCTCCGTTGCCTGCGCGCAACTCATCCAACACAGCACCCCACATCACTCTGCCTGCTGCCAGGGAAGGGAAGGAAAAATCCAACCCAAGCCCAGGCAGGCTAGCCCTCTACACTCTTTACCTTGCCAGGTTTTGCTTTCGTAGCATCTCTTGCTGCCGCGCAAACATCTCTGCTTGTGCCGGCTGTAGGAACCCGTAACCTGGGGACAGGGAGAACAATACTGTGGGGTTATTAATCTCAGCATTGACTCTTTGCTAACCCAGGGCCAGCTCCCCAGAGGGCTAACTGAGCAGGAAAGGGCAGCCGAGAGCTGCCTTTCTGTTCTAGAGCCCATCTATTCCCTCACTCCCAAGGCAGTGCAGTCTGCCGCTGAAACATGGGACCAAGGAGGCTGGTGGGGATTAACAGAGAGAGCAGCCAAGGCAACCTGCTCCTATCACTGCAAAACAAGGGTGAAGTCAGCACAACAGTACCAGGGAAACACAGAAAATGTGTCTGGGCTGTTTGGCTAAAGGACAGTTTGTCACTCTACCCGCTTCTCCTGGCTGACGTTAAGCATCTCTTAAGCACTCACCTGGTGTCTGGCACAGAGCCGAAGGCACCCCAAGAAAAGGAGGTCTCAAGTGGGGCCCCAGGGCAATATGGGGCGCATTCTGGGGTGAAAGCAGAGGCGGTGGGTGGGATATCTCCCTGCAGAAATCAGAAAATAAATACATGTTGAAAACCTGGAGGCTCCATCCACAGCACCCAGAGGGCCCTGGCTCAGGAATAACATCCTTTCTGCAGATGACCTGCACTCTGTACCAGAGGCTGTTCTGAGATAGAAAGATGCCTGTTCACCCGTACATGAAACTTTTAAAAGGAGAGAGAAAAGACAAGAAGCAGAACCAGAAGGGGAAAAAAGCAGCCAGGACTCCATAGGTCCCACATACTTCCCACCTTGATATGTTTGCTTCCACGGCCTTTCAGCTGGGTTTTGGCTGCCCAGGGCTAGCAAAGGCAAGGCTGAAGGTGCTGCATCTGCCCATCCCGTTAGCAAGCTCGGGTTTCTATCTCAACTACCTTACAACTGAAAAAGCATTCTATATTTTGGGAACTGGACAGTGGGTCTGGGAAGATCTGAAGGCATCACTGGCATGCCTTGCAAAAAAAATCACTGTCCTAGCCAGGACAAGGGGAGATCTTTAATTCTGGAGAGAAAAGCTGTAAGTCAGGCAGAGAAAAAACACAGAGAGAGGAGAGACGAGGAGCGGGATGTGAGCAGGAAGCGCCATGGGGTTGGTGGAAAGGAGTACTACTGGAGAAGGGGGGGGGTGACGCTGGCCAGAACGGGTAGAGCACATGTAAGGTGGCAAGTAAGCTGGAAGAGGCAGCTTTGAGGGGTGGAGAAGAGGAAAACACCTGGAAGCAGGGTGGGTAGCCCTTTCTTGCCCGGGGGGGGGGGGGGGAATGGCAGGAAGGGAATACAAGCCAAGGTCTCTTCCATTAGTCAAATCTGCCCTGGGAGCCTGCAAGCAAATCTCTGCTTTCCGGCTGCACGTCTCTTAATTCCTTTTGATGGCCACTTACAACATTATTACCTTCACCAGGGCATCTAGAGGCAAAGCCAAGTGCTGTGCCGTTTATTTTCATTTTACAATATCTCCCTATAAAATCTGCTTCAGGAGAGACTGGAGGGCAAGAGAAAGGGAGCAAGAAGGTGCGTGTGACTTTGCAACAAACAGACCGTACGCACAACCACGCTCCCCCTTTCAGTGGGGGGATGACGTGCAAGTGCGGGCTAACGTGAGAATCCCGGCCATCCATGCCCCCATCCCACACAGTTGGGGATGGACTGCCACCACGGCTCATGAAAAGCCAGACAAAGACTCTTTGGGGATGAGGTGGGCAAAGAGAGGATTCCTGTCCTTCCCCTAGATCTTCCCAGTGTAGTTTTATCCTCATTCTACGCAACAGCCACTACAAAACGCTGCCAAACGCTGATCCACAGCACAGAACAGGCTGAGATTCCCCTCCGAAATTCCCCCTTCTCCCTACCCCTTGTCCACCTGCCTGTCTCTGCCTCCACCCTGCCCGTCTGTCTCTACTCCCCTTCTCCCCTTCCCCTGGCTGTCTCCGTCTCTCCTTTCCTCCTCCTTCCTCCCCTAGCTCTCCTCTAAACTAATTGCACAGCTCGCTGTGTCTGGAGGAGAGCCACAGATCGATCCGTCGCTGTTGAAATGTTAATGCTAATCGTATAACCGCTCCGCCAGCACCTCGCACTTCAGTGGCAGCTCCAATTAATCTCAGGTAACGCAGCGCGTGACCTTCGGCTCAGAGCCGGGGCAGCAGCCAAGCGATGCTTATGTAATTACACCATGAAGTGTGTAATCACCTGCCCTAATCCCCGAGGCCTCACAATTAGCCGAGGCCTCGGTCGCTGGGCTGCCAAGTGCTTTGCCACCCCGGACAGCCTGCAGATGAATAACGGACAATTAAAGCGGCATGACGGGGGCTAGGAGGTGTCCGTTCGATCGTAATTAGCTGTAATCATGGGGAGACGAGCCTGGCAGACGTGCTGTTCGTTTTATAAGAAGCAATTTAGGAAATCAAGTCGCTTTTAACCATTCCATGGCCAGGCAAGCAGTGGCCGTGCCCTCCCTGCCTTTTATAGATGCAGAAAAGGGGATCCTGTACGAGAGATAACAATGCAGAGAAGCCCCAGGTGCAGGCTGCACACAGAGAGTTCAGAAGGAAACGCTAAAAACAAAGAGAGCGTCTCGATTTTAGCCAAGAAGAGATAATCTGTGCCCAGGAAGCATACTGTTTGATGGGGATCAGGACCTGCCACTGGAAAATAAAAGGTTCTCCCTTTGGTGGCAGCCCAATGTTAATCAGAGGCTATTTTTATGCTTTAATGTTGCACTCCAGCGGCTAACTTTGATCCCTAAGGAATTCACATCTGCTCGAGACCCTGCAGTTCATTCCCTCTGTCCTCTCATCGGCTCTGTGCAGCTAGCCTGCCTTTCAGGGCCAGGGATCAGCTCGCACTTTGGACTGGCCAGCGAGCGGTGTCCTGGCTGAGGAAGGGAGGATGGCGGGACAAAGCAATTGCTGTGGGACCCGATCACGCTGCCACGCACACGGCTGAGCACAGCAGCCTGCAGCGGCTCAGAAGGAGCTGGAAATACTTGTAAGAGGGGCTGCAAGAAACACATCAGGAGCAACTTCGAACGTGAGAGGTCAGTCGCTGCTTACGTTACACACACGACGCATGCTGGGGATGAGTCCAAAGGTTTAGAAAATTCAGGGAGACACATTTACACTTGCTGTCATCATGCCTGCCTGACACAGCAGACCACACGGAGACCCCAGAGTTGTTCTCTCAGCAACGCTGGAGCTCGCCACCAACCACGCGCGTAGGGCAAAGCTGCTGGGTGAGGCCAGATAAACAGGACCAGCCAAAGGTCCCGCGACTGGCCCTGTTACACCCGAGGAGTACGTAGCCTGAAGTCAGAGAGGAGGCTGCATACGGCCAACAAGGAGGAGTCATTGCACCTCTCCTGCCATCCCCCCAATGGCTCAGCATCAGTCCGAAGCAGAAGATAACTTCGAAGGAAAGCAGGTACGCTCATAAATATTCAGGGAACAAGGGACTCTTCTCCCTGCAGGTAGGCTGACGCTCCCTAGCTCATGCTGCAGAGCCCCCGAGGAGCAGCGCTTCACACTGCCTGCCTTACCACAAAGGGCAGATGCTTTCCACCGTCCCACAAGCCCAGCCTCCTGGCAGTCCAGGCGGGGAACCTGTTGGAGCCTGCCACTGCTCCCTTCCAGCCCATCTGCCTGATCCTTGGCACGGAAACCTGGCACACGAGGGAGGGAGTATGACCAGGTCGTGTCCTGGCACAGAGCTGGGAAGCCCTCCCAGGCTGCCTGGTACAGATACAGCCAATTACTTCCAAGCAAGCTTGGAAATGAACTGGCAACCCCAGAGTACAAAGTCCCAGAGACCTTAACAAAGCCTAGCGTGCTTTTAGGCAGACGTGCACCAAAACACAAATCCTTGCATCCTTTCTCAGGTACATACCAGCCTTCAAGCCCCCATTAATTTCCTTCCTCCTTTTCTTCCACCTCCAGGTAAGGGCTGAATTACAGTCCCATACTCTGAGAATGTGAATTTAGCCCTTGGCAATTACATCTGATAAGCCTCGTCCTTACCTTGCAGAGAGCAATTCTGTGTTACTGCATATTCCTCCCCTCACCCCCCTTTTTTTTTTTTCCCCTAATATGCCAGCTGGAGGCTTGTGAGCAGGGTATTAGGGGATTTGCACTGCATGCTGCTAAATTTGATATGTCCTTTAACAGGAGACAAATGGTTCACAAGGCTTAAAAAGTATCGACTTTTCTTTAACAATAAGCACTAATGGCCTTCAAATAATCAATATTTAAAGTCATTATGGGGTTACACATTATACTGTTAAAACCAAGCCTTTCACTTTAACCCCATCATATCCTCCCAAGCCCAGAGCAGCGCTCCCCCCTGACTCACTCCAAGCTTAAAAGGAAGGCTCGAAGCACAGGCTGTGACTGGAGATGTGAGAGGGTCAGGAAATGCAGATTGAAACCGGCAAGGCATGGAAATAAATTTAGAACGGATGGAAGAGGGGGGGAAAAGAAAAGAATGCATGAAAGCTCTGCTTTCTTCTGCTTTGCATTTGATAGGAAGAGACACTTTAAACCTGAGGTAATAGGCAAGCAGCACACAGCTCCTTGCTGGTTCGCCATCCGCAGACACCGTCTGTGCCAGGAAGGGAAAATAAATAAAATGAAAGGGCTTTCTAAAAATGGTGTTTGGGATTTCCAGGCAGAAAGAGACATGTTGCTGCCCTAGAAGGGCAGCACCAGTACAAGGCCTGGACACAGAGGGGGTCTGGTTTATGCTGCCAGGGGAAATCACTCCCTCAAAAATCCAAACTGGTGCTAAAATCAAATTGGTTAAATCAGGTCAAGCTCTTTGGCCTTTGCTCTGCATAACATTCAGCCAGCCAGGATCTGGTGAGGAATCCTCTCAGTGCAACTATCAGAGAAAGAGGGATACAGCATTCAGAGCAGAGAGGGGGATGTGGGGCTGGGGTAGGTAAGAGTAGGAGACAGAATGTGCCCAAGGTGCACAGGAGTGAAAAGGAAAGCCTCCGCAACGCAGCGGGGAGGAATTAGGTGGTGAAAGAAAAAACGGTAGCAACAGCAGATGGGAAGAGCACAATCCAAAAATCCTTGCTGGGTATTTCAGGCACATCTTTGCACAGAGAAAGGCCTCTGGCTGATGCACAATGTTTGTCAGCTTTCTGCAACAGAAGGGCAACGAGTGCATCTTTGAGACTCCGCGGCTCCCACTCCCAGAACACTCTAGCCAAAGGGCTCGGCTTCCCAGGACCCCAGCAGATCAGGATGCTGATGACACCTCACACAGGCAGTATTTCTTGCTCCTTGGCATTCCTCCTGCCTTCACCCCATAATTGCCTACGGTCCTAGAAGATGAATTGTGTCCCTAATGCTTCTTACAGACAGTACCAGAGACAGCCGAATGCTATTACCAAAGTACCTGCCTCAACACTTGCCCTTTCTCTGACTATAATCTGCCTTCTCCCTCTCCTGTGAGAGAGGGGCAGGTTCTCCCACGCAGACGCCCTGCCATATACTGTACGCATGTGAACAAGCTCTTGGCAACTCATAACACAGAACCGGTGCATCCTATTTAGCCAACAAGCTTCACCACACCGATCACACCGCTAAGCAGCTTGTCCAGCCTAGTCTGAGCACTCGTGCAAGGCCTTCAGTTCGCAGGGTATAAAAGTTTTTCCTTAAAGTGGGGGGGGAATGCAAGCGTTCCCTAGGCTTCACACACACTAGCCTGCTCTGTGAGAAGCAGCCTGCTCAGTTCAGGAGTACTACCAGGAGCGAGTTCTGCAGCATGTACCAGGAGATGAGCACCTTGGGTAAGAACATGCCAGGCTAAACGACCCCAGCAAAACCAAGTACGCTGCCAACAAATTTTGGAGACAAGATCCAAGGAGTAGGATCCAAGCGACTCTGCATCTCTGCAGGGCACAGCCACCTGCTACTTTTGCAGGAGACACAGCAGTTTGGAGATGGGAAGTACTCCAGGCTGGAGTAGTTACAATGACACCTTCTAGTTGTACCCTTTCCTCTTCCAAGTCTTTTTATAACACTGAACTCAAGCATCTTTCCAAACAAACCACCAGGTCCTGGCGCTCTATAATCCAAGTCTGAATCAATCTAGAGAAGGATCTAGGAAACCAAAACCATGAAACCGATTCTCAAGCCTGCAGCCTGAGTCTACTTTTGGCAAGACATACCACTTTTACTAACTCTTTTCAACAGATGAGGAAGCTGGAGCAAAGAGGTGAAGGGACCACTACTCCGCTAAAAGGACCTTGGAACCTGGTCCAAGAAAATCCATATTCAGGGTGTCTGCGTGCACACATGTGTGTATTATCCCCTTCAGAGCCAGTACCCACCCGCCTGCCTTGTGGTTAGTATCGTTAAACATACCAGCCTGTTTCTGACCAGCAAAGATGTATGCTAACTAGTTGACAAATGTCTGAACATACCTATCTTCCCAAGTATTCCCTAGCTCAGACTCACCACCCACCTTTTCACACCTGAGAACTGGAAAACTGTATATATAACTCCCACTAGCAGGCAAAGGTCTCTGCATTCCTGTCCTTGCAAAAACAGCAGCACTGCCCTGATAAATAAAACTGGGTCACCACTATGGGTTTTTCCCCCTTGCTTTGCCAGACTTAATGGCCGAAGTCTGGGGTGGCTAATTATTCTTGCCCACAAAGCTGCTGCACTTGAGAGCTGACCTGATCCCCACAGATCTCCCGATAGGAAGCTGAAATGGAATTTTAACACCATGCCAAACAGTTCACATCCCCCTGCATCATGCGTTATTACTTCTGTTCCTGGGAAAGGAGATGCCGTAAATCTACCTACAGTTTGCCTATGTACGTGAGCCAGCCTTCTCCATTGCCTTCTCCTCTGTCAGTGCCTACCTGAACCTTTTAAAATTTCTATACCTTTATTATGAAGGTGCACAGAGGCTGCTTTGATTTACCCTGTTGACAAAGACCACGGCAGCCAAGTACAATACCCAAGGCTAACAGCAACAGGGAGAACGGAAGGGAGAAATTAACCCATACAGCGCTTTACTGCTTTACAATACATGGCCACCGCTTCTCCTGGCATACCTAAAAATGTCTGCGGTGCTTTGGCAAAACAGCAAGAAATGGTCTGCACGTGACAGTTCCAACCAGGCCATTTCTGAGTGGGAGCAGAGTGACACATGCTGACCTTTAGTGACACTCAGGTGGCTGCAGACCTCTAAGGAGAAAATAACGATTGTGTGAACTAATGTCAAGCAGACTTACCAAGTCATGACTATGGGGCATAGTTGTAGCTTCCCCTTTCCCAGCAGGACTCCCCAGCTCTGCTAACTGAGGATTATCACACCCGAGAGCCTGGCCAAGGAGGCAGGCCACACAGGGCCATATCACACCCTCCTTGGGGGAGCAGATAGCTGCAGAAAAACCAGGCAGTCTGGTCTACCATGCCATGGCATGGTGGAAGAAGGAAGCACGGGACGTGCCCAGCCAGGCCCACCATGGTGATGCTTCACGTGGTCTGTCTGAAAGCTCCTTGGAGAACTAGTGTGCCCAGGCTTTTAGAGCAGGTCCCGTATGTACAGTCTGACACGGGAGCAGTGCGGGAAAACAAAACCAGAGCTGATAACGTGCTATGAGCCATGTTTCAGTCTGCAAACTCTTGGACAGAAACAAGGCTCCAGAGTATATAGCTCAGAAAAAAAGACAGCTTCTTTGTTTTGTTCCCACCAACACAACCACAGGCTGGTCCTGCTTATAGGCAAATAACTAGACCTTTACAAGCGGGTGCAAATACCCTTGCTCCACACAACATGCCACACTATACTGCTCTTTGAACCGAGGTTCTCAAAGGCCTTCCCAAACGTGAAGTGCAACCTGCTTTCAAAACGAGAACCACTGTCACTGTGCAGCAGGGGAAACTGAGACGCAGAGTGACTCCTGCAAACTCAATCCGAGGTCCCACAGGTATTTCTCTCAACATCAAAGGCAGGTTGTGTCCCTATGTGTTCCTTTCCCCCACCTCACCTCACCAGGATTTCCCTCTCACTGATGCCAATGCAACTCTTGGCAGGGCTACTTGGAGAACTGAACAGAGATGAGAAGTAGTGGTCTTCTCCAACCGTTAACTCCTGGTCTTCAGTCTCTATCCCCTGACCTAGCAAGTAACTTCCCTCTCCCTCCCATAACTGGGGAGGAACACTGGCCCTAACTCCAGTCCTCTCCTTAAACTGCCAGATAACACCCTCTTCCCAAACGATTTAACGTTTCTTGGCCTAGCCCAGCTCCAGTAGGTAGAACACCTGCCTGGCAGTGGCAAGTACCTCTGGATTTGATACATATCTAATTCATTTTCAATTTGCCCCTCCCACGTGCAGCACCTCCCCAGAAGCAACCTCCACCCTTCCGTACGTGCCTTTTCAGCCAGGCCTCCGGCTGGCCTGGCACTTCTCCAGGCCACACATAGCTGGAAAAATTTTCCTGATGACTGGATGCACTGAAACTCGTCTATCTCTGCATTCCTCACAGGTCTGCCTACAATCCACGTGGACTGGGCTGGATTTTATTAGGTGGGTTAGCCAAAGTACACCGTGTAGGAGAAAGGTTTACCAGGTCTGCCCAGCCCCTACACATTGCAAACCCACTGGTCAGAAAGAAGGGAAAACAGACAGGATCTCCAAGGCTATAAATGGGGGGGGTGTGACTTTGAACTCAACACATACATATGCATGCTCTAGAACTAATATTGCAGCCCTGCTGCCTGTCCCCACCCCAAGATGAAAGCCAAGAAAGTCTAGATACTAGACCCTTTCACGGTTTGACCCGTGATACCCAAAGCTTTTGCATCCCCGTGGCTGCCAGGCCCTCTCCCGCCTCTGCTATCCTTGTCAAAAACGCACGCAGCTTTAATTTAATTTCCTTCTGAAGTTCTTGATTGCAGAGGGAATGGCTTATGGCACAGAGCAAGATAAATGAGCTAGAATTTCCTGGCGTGGGGGAGGGAAATCAGCTTTCCAGCACTCCTATCAGTGATAAAAGGCAAGCCATACCTCCTTCTTCCTTAAAAATTTCTTCTCTTTCTATTCCATCCCAGAGCATTCATTCTCTCTGATTACCTGGGGATGCTATAAAACGCAAACTCGACCGTCTTAACTTGCTCTGTGCCAAAGAACAGGTTAGAGTCTAGCATCTGCTCTGGAGATCCCAGGCAGGATCGGGATGGCTCCCACCAACCAGCCAGTCTCCCACCTGGCTGCGAACCTGCACAAGCACAAATCACCCCCGCTTTGCGTACGGACACCCCAGCCCGTGGCAGGCGCACACGCAGAACCACGCTTTTGCACCTGCACAACGCCCCAGGGAGACGTTAAACGCCTTACGGGGGCAAATCAAACCTGCCCACCCCCCGGGAGCATCACTACCCTCACCCAGGCGCACCCCCCTGCCCCGGACCCTTACGGCACCCACGCACACACCTTTCCAGACCGTCTCTGAGGGTGCCCACCG